GTAGATTCTTGCAGCCACTGTGGGAAACAGTACAGAGCTTCCTCAAAAAATTAAAAATGGAACTGCCTTATGACCCAATGATCCCACATCTGGGTATTTAGCCAAAGAAATCCAAAACACTAATTCAAAAAGATATATGTTCCCCCACGTTCATTGAAGCATTATTTATAATAGCCCATATACTGAAGCAACCTAAGTGTCCATTGATAGACAATTGGATAAAGAAGATGTGGTGTATATATACAATGTAATATTACTCAGCTATGAAAATAATGAAATTTTTCTATTTGTGACAGTATGGATAGACCTAGAGGGTATTATGCTAAGTGAAATGTCACACAGATAAAGACAAATACCATATGATTTCTCTCATAAGTGCAATCTAAAAAACAAATGAGCACAGAACAGAAATAGGCTCACAGACATGTAGACTGATATTTGCCCAAGGGGAGGAGGGTTTGATGGCTGGGTGAAAAAAGGTGAAGGGATTAGGAAGCACAAATTGGTAGTTCAAAAATAGTCACAGGGATATAAAGTACAACATAGGGAATATAATGAATAGTATTGTAATACCTACGTATGATATCAGGTGGGTCCTAGGCTTATTGGGGGATCACTTTGTAAGTTACATAAATGTCTAACCACTTTGCTATATACCTGAAACTGATATAATATTGAATGTCAGCTGTGATTGAAAAAAAATTTTAATTAAAAAGAAGATTGTTAGTGACAACTACAAAACTATGGTGGTTAATTTACCTATAAGCTTTTAGATATTGTTTCATTAAATGGAACACACCCAGTAGAAATTAGACCAGGCCCTTCATCATTAAAGTACTTGTAGTCTAGTCAGGTGGAAAAGAGTAAAATTGTGGTATAGTACAGTACATACAATTGTATGTAAATGCACAAAAGATCAAGTGCAAATTAAAGTGGCTGGGAAAACTAGGAAACCATTTCTAAAAGCCAGAGAGAGGTCCAGGGTTGCTATTAAGACCACATGTGCAAGAGGTGGCGCGATCCCCCCACCCACCCACATCTGGAGCCACTGCCAGGACAGGGAAGAAAGGCACTGAGCTGCTGGCTTTCAGGGGTGTCTCCTCTCACTCCTGACTTCTCACAGCCCCTTGGGAAGTCCCCCTACACACAGAAAGATGTGTTCAAGTATCTTCTTGTACAGCTCCACCACTTACCGTTTTCCCTGTCTAGTATGTGAGGGTAATACGTGTCTCTCAGCACTGGTAGGTTTAAAAGCTACATCGTCTGTGATGTGTCTGGCACAGGGCCGCACTCATTTTATGAGGCCCCATCCGCCCACAGCCCTGGAAGAGAAGTCTGTCTCCAAACCCCCTGCTTCCAGGTATACTTTCCAGGAAAGCAGCTCAGCGCATCACGGTGACATGGGCCTCAGAAAAGGTTCACACGGAAGTTAAATGAAGGCCCCCGGATTTCTGAGTGCTCAGAATTCCCCTCTTGATTTTGGCCCAAATCAAGGTGGGCTTTGAGCGGGTTGTCCTGACACCTAGGTGCAATCACCAGTTCTACCACATGCCCGGCACTACACCAGAGCACGGGATAGGTCCTCGGCCTCCTGGGAGCGCGGAGTCTGGCAGGAGTGGAAGGACACAGGCCCACGCAGCTTCCACACACAGCAGAGTGAGCGTGGTGACGGAAGCATGAAGTGCGGTGGGGGCAAAGAGGAAGGCGTGGGAAAGAGAATTAGAGGACCTATGACACCCCTGTGGACCAAAAAGGCTTGTTTTGCATTTTGTGTAAGTTTTGCTGCACCAAGGGAGCATTCCAGAGAACAGTGAATAGCGCAGGCCCGGGTTGGAGCTTCAACCACCCGGAACATGGTGACAGATGAGTGCGTCCCTCTGTGAGTTAAGAGGAGGGTCCCTGGGCGGCAGGGGCATAGCTAGTGGGTTCTGAACGGGGGTGGGGGGCGATCTGCTGGCCCAGAGGATTTAGGCTAAGTTCACAAAAGGGGGTGGTGGCAGCACCAACACTTCTCTCTATTCTTCGGTCTGTTTATACATTCATTTGTTCATTCAACAAACATGTATTCATTATTTACTATGAGACAAGCACGAATCCAGTGCTAAGGGAAGAAAAACACATAAGACAGTTTCTTTCCTGGAGGAAATAATAGTTTGGGGAGGAGACAAGTAACAATAGTACGTAACACAGATAACAGTTGCTACCCGCTCCAAGAACAGAGTTAAGAAAGTAGCTGATTATGCTTGGAGGTAGAGGATGGTGAGAAACAGCTTTCAAAGATGTGCCATGTGAGCTGAGTTTGAAGGATAAAGGAGTAGGAGCTTGCCAGATGGAAGTGAGAACTGCAGGCAGAGCAACCCGCACAACAACGCCCGGGGGCTCAGTTGCATGGGGCATACTGGGACGTGGCAAGGTTCACTGGAGTGGACCCTGCAGTGGACAGGGGACCTAAGGAGACGAGATTGGAGAGCTGCGCTGGAGTTGGAGTGTGGCTTCATCCTAAAGGCAATGAGACAGTTTTGAAAACATTTACACTGGGGAGTTAGGAAAGTAAATGTCAGTGGGACGTCATGAGGGTCAGAGAGGTCCTGGGCAGATAGTAGGGAGACTTTTTACTAGTCCTTGTATCATCGGAAAAACCAGGAGGACCTGACCTGGGGCAGCCTGAGTGGGACCTGTGGAGTCATTGAATGAAAACTCGCCGTGCGGGTCACTCTCAGGCTTGCATGGATGGTGCCATTTCCAAAACAGGAATGGCAGGAGGAAAATGATGAATTTGTTCTTGAATATGTTTAAGGCTGCTGCATGACACCTGTAATGCTCTCCCCACCCCAGCCCCACCTCCACCTTAAAATCCTTCTGGGGACCCCCTATTCCCATCAGCCCTGGCCTGCCCCCCGCCCCCCACTGCCTTCTCTCAGCTGCACCTCCTAACACACTCGCTCCAGCCTGAGCAGCTTGCATATCCTTGAATTGCCAGGTTCTGTTCTACTTCTTCGTGCCTCTAACTGGAACACCTTTTCCCTTCTCTTGCCTTTTGCTTGGCCAATTGCCAGACTCACTCAAAGGTAGGTAACATCTTTGAAGAAGCATCCCTTGACATTCTGTACTACCACCCCCAGGGAGAGTTAGTATAAATCCATCAGCGGCGCTTACTCACTCACTTGATTGTAATGATTTGCATGCACGTCACCTCCTCCACGCCGACCGCCCTTCCCCCCTGGGCAGGAGGCATCTCAGTATCCAGTGCGCCTGACCCAGATGGAGTCTAGGACATCAGTACATGTGTGTTGAATGAACTAATCCAGACAGGGGCATCCAACAGAGAACTGGAAATTCAAAAAAAAACAAAATGAAAGGCACCACAGACAGATGCAAGCCACGTGAAGACCTTCTGCCTGCCATTGGGTCACCCATCCTCTGCTCCAGGCACTACATTGTCTGAAGGCTAGATGTTTGGTGAACTGGGCTCGTGGCTGTTGGCTTGGGTATGTGTGTGGAATGGAATAGCGAGGGAGAAAGAACACAGAGGCCTAGAGAAAAGGCCAGTGAAGGTTGGGGGACTGAAATGGATGGGAATTTACTTAAGAGAGAGCCTGGCCTGGACACCTGTTTCTCTTTCTGGTTCTAGGCCTCTGGGCCCTATTTTCTACCACCATCTGGTGGCCACATCCTTATACAACAAGCTCCTCGAGAGCTGAAAGAGCTTGTATGAGGCAGAAGTTCCATGGATTGGCCTCAGAGGTTGTGACACCCTCATCCCCCAGATTTAGCATGCAAATTTACACGCACGCACGCACGCACGCATGCACACACACCGTCTTATAGTGGTGAGAAATTCCAAGAGCTTTTTATCAGATTCTTAGACGTTTAAATCCCCCAGATGATTGAGAATCACTACTATAAAAGATTGTTCTAGAATAGCGATTTTTTTTTCCCCCAAATGAAATCCTATGAAGAATTATAATGTAAGAAAGAGAAAACTAGACTTAGGTCCCTCCTTGCACAGAACACAAAGTCCAATTTTAAAACCACACTTATAAAGCCACAGGCTCATGCTGCTTCAGAGCCGGATGGACCCTTATGAGCCTTTGAGACTCACTAAGCCGCACCCTGGGGAGAGGGCAGTGAAGGTCACCGGACGTGACCATATCAGTGGCAGTACTGGCACCTAACACAAATCGCCTCCCACCCCAGGTCTCTAAACTGCGTGTTTTGCCTTATTTCCCAAACACCTAAATTTTAAAAAAATAATAAAACTTTTTCTATCCTGAACATACTTCCCAAACAGGAAACCATCTTTCCTGTAGATATTTAAGCTTCTGGAAGGAGATATTTCTCCTTATAAATGCCTCTCCAGAAACCATAATACATGGTAGAAAATAAATCTATAGCTAACATTTAAATAGTTCTTTCTGTCTTAGAACATCAACACCTAAACACCCGTAAGCTAACTAATTTTACACTGGGAAAACAGAGACTTGGAGAAAATGATTTGTTTGCTGTTTTCTGACATTGACTTAAGGGTTCTTTCTATTATCTCTCAGCCTTTGTATTCAAATGTATACATTCTGACTTGAAACGGTGAACGAGTTAGCAGTATAACTAGCTTGTTGATAACTGCTGGGCAGAGATGGGGGACACAGTAAGGTAAGACCAGCCCCTGCTAATCACAGCCTTTTGGGGGTAAGGAGAGGAATAAAGACCAACATTGATTGAATATCCTTACCCCAGGGTCTAATTTCTGGACAATCTTCACAGTCTGTTTTTAATCACCGTTTCGGCAGATGCATGAACTGAAGCTCAGAAAGAGAAAGTGCCTTGCCCAAGGTCGCACAGCCAGTAAACTGAGATAAACCTCTGGCCTGCCTGCCTCCTCAGCCTGTGTTTTCCCCACACCAGGGAATGGTGTGGGGCTCTGAACATGCCAGCAACCCTCCCTGCGTGGGCAGCCCTGGCCGCCTCTAACCCTCCGCCCCTCCCTCCTTTCTCTCCCGTAGGAGTGCCAGCTTCTCTCAGGGCACCAGGGCCTCGTTCCTCATGAGGAGTGACACGGCTGTACAGAAACTTGCCCAGGGCAACGGACACTGTGTCAACGGGGTCAGCGGTCAAGTCCATGGCTTCTACAGCCTGCCCAAGCCCAGCCGGCACAATACAGAGTTCAGAGACAGTACCTACGACCTCCCCCGGGGCCTGGCCTCCCACGGCCACACCAAGGGCAGCCTCACAGGCTCTGAGACAGATAACGAGGATGTGTACACCTTCAAGACGCCCAGCAACGCCCTGTGCCGGGAGTTTGGGGACCTCCTGGTGGACAATATGGATGTTCCGGCCACCCCGCTGTCAGCCTACCAGATCCCTAGGACGTTCACGCTGGACAAGAACCACAATGCCCTGGCAGTGGCCACTCCCGGGGACTCAGCCATAGCTCCCCCACCCAGACCCCCCAAGCCAAGTCAGGCAGAAACACCTCGATGGGGCAGCCCTCAGCAGAGGCCTCCAGTCGGTGAAAACAGCAGATCAGTCTCTGCCGCTGCCACCATCCCCAGGCGCAATACGCTCCCCGCGATGGATAACAGCCGACTGCACCGAGGTCAGTGTCATCCTCGCTGAGGCCTGGGGACGGGGAGGGGGGTGGGGGTAGCCTGGGGGTTCTGAGCAGTCTGCTAGTTCATGGTTATTCATGCCCGGTAGACTTCAGGACCACCCAGGTCCCTGATGTGACTTAGACATCTTGTACTCAGACCCCTTCCTAGTGGGTCCTTCAGCACTGGCGGCTGTTAGTGGACACCCACAATGGCAAGCGTGTACCTCTCCCTGCCTCAGAGAAATTGGTAGCCTCCTAAGGGAGAGGGAACATTCTTGGTAAACCACAACACAACGTGTTCTGGGTTTGGAAGTCTAAAATCATAGTATTTTATTCATTTATAATTGAAACTAGAGACTACAAAAATCAATTTAGAGGGCTAGTCCAAACCAAAGCCAAACCTATGTGGACTAGCAGACTATTAAAACAAAATTAGATCTTCAAAATATTTTCTAAGCCAGCCTCAAATCTCCGTTTAAAGTCTGAACTTCTAGCTGAAAGACGTAACTTCTGTTGTTACTTGTTTTCCACTTTGGGTATTCCAACTCTGCAGTATGATCTCTGTTTAATGAAAAAGTGCAACAATATTAATCCCTTTCATTCTGCATTTGCTTTATAGCTCACAAAGCCTGTCGTTATATCTGTTCTGTTGTTTAAGCCGTGTAGTGACCCACAGAATTTGGCGAGACAAAGCCTCATTGTGCCCATTTCACGTGAGGCCTGTGGTAGTTAAGACACTTATTCCGGGTTGCAAAGTCAGTCGGGGGCAGAAATGGGCCTTGCAGCCGGGATCCTGACTCCTAGCTCGGTGCGCTGTGCAGCCTTTCAGTCCATCAGCTATTTGAGCAACCACCCTGTGCTCTAAGATGGAGATGACAGAGACATTAAAAAACATGGGCATGCCCTTCAGCGAACTCACATATAGTGGGGAAATAAAATCAACATGTATAAATTAGTCAAGTATCAGCATTATTGTAGCATCTGTATCAGTGATGGCTGGGGTGGGTGGGGCAGGAGGTGCTCTAGGAGTTAGAGAAGTGCGTAGGTGAGGGATTCAACTTAGACACCAGCATGGGAGCTCGATCTACGAGCCTGGGAGGGATTTCTGAACTGAAAGGTAAGGTGACAAAACTAATACCTTATCATTGGGGGTTAAGAGCAGTATCTTCTGGAGTTTTAATAAGACCCTGAGCAACACTGGTGAGGGTCTGGGTGAGTATCAGCACACAGATGAACCGTGAGTGCCCCTGGATCCTCCTTCCTCTGTCGTAGCTTCTTCCTGTGAGTCCTATGAGTACCCTCAGCGTGGTGGAGAGAGTGCGGGCCGCTCTGCAGAGTCCATGAGTGATGGAGTCGGTTCTTTCCTGGTAAGTGGGGTACAGCCAGGGGTTCTCAGCTGGCTCGGATGGGTTAAAAGTCACCCAAAGAGTGATAGCATCTCCCTCTTACGACCCTGCGTAGTTCTTGTCTCAGTTCAGAACCCCGGGTTGAGTTTTTTGAAAGTAAGATACAAGTATCCTGCTGTGGAGGAAACCTGTGTGTTTCGGTACACTAGACTATGAGGCTCGCCAACCCTGTGGGTGAGCAGGAGAGGTCTGGAAGGCCGAGGACTTGGCTCTGGGATGGTGGATCTAAGGCACCATCCTTACCCATGAGGCCTCGAATGGAGAAGGGGCTGTGGCAGGAGACGGCAGGGAGAGGTGGCGCAGAGTCAGGCTCAGCAGCAGAACTACGGTTTGCGCGCAGGATCCCAGGCTGCCATCTAGAGGGGGCTGACCACGGAGCTGCAGGGTGGCAGGCCCCAGCTGAGCAGACTAGCCCTGGCTTGGGGTGCATGGAAAAGACTAAAGATTCGGTAACCAAAGCAGAGGCAGCTTAGTTATATGTCTGAACACACAGGGCAGGAGCTGAGGGAAGGCTGTAGTCAGGGTCGCTGCGTCACACGTTCTGTGGCCACTCTGCCTGCAGCTTGGTGGTCACACCGAAGCCTGGGCTGGGGAAGCACAACTGGCCCAGCCTCACCGGCCACGCCCAAGGCTTCCGCTATGCTCCTTGCCCAGCTTAGGGCCCGAGGTGCTGACCGTCCAGGGGTGAGCCCACACCTGAGGGGGAGGGAAGGTCCTAAACCAAACCCTGCAGCACAGGGCCTGTGCTGCCCTCCCCCTGAGGCATCTGGAAGGCCCCATGGGCCCAGCCACCAGCGGTAGTTCATACACAAGATTCATTGAAAGTTGTCAGTGAGTCCCAAGGGGTCATGGGGGTAGAAAGGACCCACAGACCTCACTGCTTCCTGTTTCCCCTTTGCTTTCTTACGGGATTTTCCCAGGGTCTACCTGATAGCTTCACAGTGCAACTCACTCAGTCACGACTTTTCTTCCCTTGTATATAAATTCTCACCGCTCCCCTTGTTTCTTCTTGCTAGTGACAGCAGTATTTCTTTCTCCTACCTAGCCCAGGAAAACACTTATAGGCCGATCGGATAGCAGCAATTCTGAAGACAACTACGTGCCCATGAATCCAGGTTCCTCCACCCTGCTGGAGCGGGCAGGTGATAATTCCCAGAGTGTCTACATCCCCATGAGCCCAGGGCCCCATCACTTTGACCCGCTTGGCTACCCCTCTACAGCCCTTCCTATGCACCGAGGCGCCAGCCGAGGGAGTGAGATCCAGCCACCCCCTGTCAACCGCAACCTCAAACCAGACCGGAAAGGTAAGTCCACTCTTTCTTTGTCCCATCTCTGGACCAAGGCCAGGGACTATTTGCATTCATTTAGCAATCAAGTGGGTCCTACCCTTTATTTGCAAGGAAGTGGTAGCCTCTGGGGCCTAAACCACCTCAAAGTCACACACACATACACAAACCCTCCAAAATCATCCCAGTGGTCTAGCACCTTAGGGACTGGCCGCTGGAGAAGCCTCCTGGGCAGAGAGCAGTCAGGAGTCAGGACAGAAGACACTCAGGTTTCCACTCTGCCACCTGCTAGCACATGAGTGTAGACAAATCATCCTGTGTCTCTGAGCCTTGTTTCTTCATTTGTGAAATGGGAAATATAATACATACCTCCCAGAGGAATTGAGGAACATAGATAATATATCTGAAAGTACTTCATAATGTAAAAAATGCTATTCAAGGGAAAAGGGTTAGTATTAGATCTAGGGTAGAGTAGGGCAGAACTGACAAAGTAGTCTATTAAAAAATACATTATGATGTAATAGAAAGGCTTGAGCATTCAAACCATGTATTGTGGGTTGGAATCCTTACCTAGGACTTCCCAGGAGTGCCTTTGGGCAAATCATTTTAATTCTCTGAACTTTAGTTTTTGTATCTGTGAAATGGAAATAGTAATTCCTGCCTCCCGGGTTTGTTTAGAAGGAAAGCACCCGGGACGTTGACTCTGGTCCACAGCAGATGTTCAGTGAAGTTAGATCTGTGTCCCTGGCATCTAGAGCAGAAAGTTCAAGTTCAAGGTCCAGGCCTGTCTCTACCTCAGCCACTGGCCTTGGATCAGAGCCAGGGATTCAAAGGGAGAAGTAAAATGACTTTGGTAGAGATAAGCCCCACTGGTCTGGCCAACAGGGAATTCAAATGTTAGCTTTGAAGGGAAGCCTGCAGGGTCTTATGGCCTTGGCCTTCCTCCACTCCGGGTTCCAGAGCCCTGGTCCAGCAGAAAGTAGCCCTGATGGCCTTCTCCAATTCAAACGGCATCTCTCGTTTTCCTAAAGAGTCACAAACCTGGGGGGAACAACATTCTGTTGTCAGATCCCAGACAAACCTAATATATACGTAGGAATACAGCCTCCAACTAACCTCTGTGTCCCCATCGTGGATTCTGAAAATACGATTGCCATATATACAATGCAAAGAATATGTAACTTGGAATCTGAACAGACAACTTCAAGGCCTATCAATGTGGGCAAAGATTATATAAACATGCTAAACCTCAGTTTCCCCGTGTAAAACTAGGATGACTATGAAGGCATTTATAAATACACCTGTGGGTGGTATGTAAGGATGTATGTGTGACATTATTATTAATGGCAGATAACTCGACTTTATTCCTGCTCCAGCAAAGCCAACACCACTCGACCTGAGAAACAACACCGTCATCGATGAGCTCCCCTTCAAATCCCCGGTCACCAAGTCTTGGTCTAGGGCCATGTAAGTATCCTTCTGGAAGTGGGAGCTTCAGACAGAGCCGTCGGGGTTGGCGAAGGGACCGGTGGCCAGGCTGTGCGCCGGGAAGGCTGCAGGCTGATGATAATGTTGTCAGCAGCGGAGCCGTCTCTAGATCTCGTGGGGTTGGTTTTCTCATCGGAAAGCGGGAATAATTGTATCCGCCCCGTATCAGCTCTCCCTCTGATAATGCGGAGTGGAGCTCTGAGGGTGGAGGTCTGCGTGTGTAACCCTTCCCCAGGGTTTATTCTTTGTCTTCCTCCCACAACAGCCACACCTTCAACTCCAGCTCTTCCCAGTACTGCCGCCCCATCTCCACACAGAGCATCACCAGCACGGACTCCGGAGACAGTGAAGAGAACTATGTCCCTATGGTGAGTCCCCCAGGGCCCGCACAGTGACTCCCGTCTGAGGCCTCCGGGGCCTCACTCTCACACCCCCACTTCCCAGCTTGGCTCACTCTCCTCAGCCCAGGGGTTCCCATGTTACTTGCTATTTTACTCGCTGCTGCATATCTTCCATGAGTCACATGGGTGATGAGCACAGTGGCGCTATCCTCAGAGACAGTGACGACATGGTCTCCACCGTCAAAGAGGCCTCAGTCATAGGAAGACGGCCTGCCTTTCTTGTGACTGTGACAGAGGGGGCATGGGCAGTGCCCCTGAGGGGACACTGGGGGGACACACGCGCAGGAGAGGTGATCATACCAGGCTGGGGACAGGGGAGGCACTGAGGTGGAGGTGGCCATGTGTTGGGGAGGGGCATAGAGGAAAACAATTATCATTCACTGTGGCTGAAGGTGGGGTGGGCAGGGGGAGGCTGGACTGGAACCAGACCATGAAGGACCCCACATGCTGTCTTGGGAAGTCTGGACTTTTCTGGTAGGCGGGAGGGAGCTCCAAAAGGGTTAGCAGGGCAGGTGATCAGGCAGGTATTTCAGAATAGTCATTAATGACAAGTGCACCCTTCGGAGTTAATTCCTTCTTCAATCCTGTTAAAAATCTTCCCTCCATTTCCTTATCCTGTTGTGCCCACGACCATAAGCAAGCATGTGAGTGAGTGTGTTTACTGAGTCCTCCGCAGTGGCGAAACACACATGTAATGACTCACTCTGGTAAAGACCATAGCAGAGCCTTAAACACAGGCCGCGCGTGTCAGGTTTCCTCCCTGAGATCTTCACTAAGAAGAGACTAGCTGCCCAGCACATAGTAGTTGCCGCGTATTGAAAGAACCAACCAATCAACCAATAAAGCAGCCAAAAACAGAATATAGGACTACCGCCTTCATCATTAGAATGAGACTGCAAGAAAATCCCGGACAAGCTAACACGGGTGCTTGGACGGAGACAGGATCCTAGTGCACGGCATTTTGAGAGCTGCTGGAGGAACCAGGCTGCGGGCAGCCCGGCAGGGACCACTCTGCTAAGATCTCTGTGGAGCTGGGGCCGGAGGGAGCAAGTTACTTCGACAGAACTACCCTGCTCTAAGCCATGGGTGGGAGTTTCAGAAAAGCAGATTCAGTGCAAAAGAAGACATTCCAATGCCCAGGGCATAAAGGAAACATGCTCCCTTCTCAGAGGCCTGCAAGCAGGGGCTGGGTCTCTTGGGGAGACTGTAGGTGAGATTTGGCTTGATGTCCTAGAAGGGAGGAACGTGGTACAGTGGGACTAGTACAGGTTTGGGAGTCAGAAAACAGACCTGGTTCGTATCCCTGCTCATTGGCTGTACAGCCCCAGGCAAAGTCACGTCACTTCTCTGAACCAGTTTTGTCTTTGTTTTTAAAAATCAGAATAGTAACAATACCTACATCACAGGATCATTGTAAAGGTTTAAATGAGAACATGAGAAGCCCCTGGCACAGAGGCCCAGTAGGCTAGCGGCTCTTCCTCCCAGAGGTGTGTTCTTGTTCCTGAACTTACAGTTCTTTTTCCTCCTTGTGATACAGCAAAACCCAGTGTCCGCATCCCCCATTCCCAGTGGCACCAACAGCCCGGCCCCTAAGAAGAGCACCGGCAGCGTCGATTACCTGGCCCTGGACTTCCAGCCAAGCTCCCCAAGCCCCCACCGCAAGGTGCCTGGGGAGGGGGGCGGGGGGTGTCAGAGCTCTCGGGGCTCTGGTGGAGGGTGCCTTTGCCCCCAAACAGCAGCACTCGGCCTCTTTCTACTTGACTGCTTTCATCTGGGTCTTACAGGCTTCCCATCACCAGCCCCTCAGCGCACAGGTAGCTTAGGTCTGTGGGGCCCCCTCAGCCAGGCCCCGCCCCTTGCCGTGCAGATGGGCAGACGAGAGCGCAGCAGCAGACACCATCGGCTGAGGGTTCCAAAATCAGTTGGTGACAGAGCCAAGACCTGGGACTCCTGTGTCCTGGTCCCAGTCTCTCATTGAGGAGAACTCATGGTCTGGGTGGGCCCCAGAGCCCTGCTGTTGACTCAGTGGTTTTCTGAAGGGACTTCCAGGCCTAGGAAGCTCCCGGCAGGAAGTACGTGGCACTGCCCAGTCCCGGCAGCAGGGGAGGCACTCGGCCTGCGCACCGGTGCCCTCAGGGTGGCTGGGAGTGCTTGCCCAGGGGTACACACAGAGCCCCATGGCTGGTGCTCGTTGGCACCCATCAAATTCCTTCCCCTGGAGGGGCCGTTGTAGCCAACAGGAGGGACGACGCAGTGTGCATTTCAGGCTCTAAAGCCACTTTCAGAAAAAGCAGACAGACTCCTAAGGCCAAAGCGCCAGGCAGGCCCCATCCTCTCCCCTTGAGACGCTGAGGAAGCGCTCACCCGGCAGCGCCCGCCTCGTGTAACTCAGCCACCTCTACTTCCCTGCTCTGTCCCACAGCCATCCACGTCATCCGTCACCTCTGACGAGAAGGTGGACTACGTTCAAGTGGACAAGGAGAAGACCCAGGCCCTGCAGAGCACCATGCAGGAGTGGACAGATGTGCGGCAGTCCTCGGAGCCTTCCAAGGGTGCCAAGCTGTGACACACAGGCCACCAGGCCTGGAGAGGGCCCTGGAGGCACCAAAGCTGGCTCCTCCCTGTCTCCCCTTTCTCCTCTCCCATCGCCCCCTCCCGCCCACCCCTCTCCACTCTGCCACTCTAGCCTTCAACACACTTGACATCAGGGACCCTGAACCCTTCCCCTGGGAGGCGAGGGCCTGATTGAGGCACTTCCTCTGCCCACTTGGGGCCCACCTTTGATTTTTATCAGTAATGGCCATGCCTCTATTCACCTTAGTTAGAGCTATTGCCAAAAAGCATCCTTCAGCCTCTTCCTGCCCTTTCGATCCGAGTATAGATGGTTGGAGGGAAGGGCTGGGGCTCCGAGCCAGTCTCCACGCCTCACTCGGTCACGGTCCCCAGCCCCTGGGCTACCTCCGTCAGTCCCGGGAGAGGCCGGTCCTCTCGCTGACCAGGGAGACAAGGACCAGCAGACCACAGTGGACATGGTCTACGCCCCTGTCTCGGCACAGGAGAGACAAGGCCACCAAAAGAAGGAGTCAGGAAGGAAGGTCAGAGGTTGTCTTGAGGGATGCAGGAATTAGATCCCCAGGTGCAGAAGGCAGCTGACGATACCTGCAGTGGCCCCCACTGTCAGCCGAGAGGCAGTGCCGCTGTCACGGGTGGGAGAGGCAGAAGGATGAGGCCAAAAGGACAGGAAAACTGAGGACAATGAGGAACCAAGAACAACAGGGAGAGGGGGCTCGGAGCCCAGGAGTTGGGCGACAAGGGCGCTGTGGAGTCGGGGCCCTGGGACTGTGGAGCCACAGGCCTGCTCCGTGGCTTCCCCGAGACCCCGCGTTCCCACCAGCTAAGGGAGCAGTTGGGCTGGGCTGGGCAGTGAGCTCAGTGAGACAGGGTGGTGCAGCCATGAGAAAGCAGTGCAGGTGCAGGATGGAGGGAGGTGTGGGGCACTGGAGGTGATGCAGGGACGGAGGGGCGACCCTGGGGACAGGAGTGGGCTGGGCAGAGGCACAGGGCAGTGCAGCAGCAGGAGGCGTAGGTAACTGATGGGATGAGAGACAGGGGTCAAGGCCACGGGGGCCCACGTAGCAAGTGGAACACACCCCCTGCGGGCCTGCTGGAGGTGGGGCCGGGGAGGCAGAGTGGAGCGGGGAGGGAAGGAGGGCTGTGTCATGACAGGGGACGGAGGTGTGCGGTGGCCTGGCAGGGCCATTCCCAGGACTGACGGACAGCGGGGAAAGCAGTGCAGGGCAGAGCAGGGCAGAGCAGGCCCAGGAGGGTGCCCTGTGGGTGTGGCCGACAGCTTGTGCGGCGGCCAGGTGTGTGCCAGGGCCCAGGGCAGGAACACGTGTTTCTCAGCTCACCTTCTGTTGAACCCTCGCATCCCAGGTGCCAGTTTGGAGTCAAGCCTGGCATCAGGGACGGGAGAGGCCATTCTCTGGTGGCTTGAGAGGCTATCAGATCAGTGCCAGTCCCCATTCATCCCTGCCAGGGACAGGAAGGAGGGCTGTATCCTAGGCTCCTTCTCCCCAGCCTGGGGCAGAGGGGCGGGGCTCTGAATTTTTTGTGCTGAAAGTTCTTGGCCAAATTTTTTAGAGTTTCAGAGGCAACTGGGAAGACCAGATGTTTCATCCTACACTGCGGATAGACTGTCCTAAAAAAGAAAATGACTTCCCACTATATTGAATGGAGGTGGCTACTGCTCCCCTTTTTGGTTTCTGTGAGTGTGCACACCCTCAGTGGCCCAGTGGCCCGACCATCCCCTATAAAGCACCATCCTGGGAGAAAGTATTTTCTCAACAGTAGCCCCCTCCTCCTAGTATTAGGTCAGATCAACTCAACCAGCGTTTATTAATGGCTGGTGTGACCAGGCCCTGGGCTAGGCACTGAGGACACAAGACTGAATCAGGCTATCCTTGCACCTGAGAAGGTCACAATCAGTGAAGGGGGGGGGGTCGGGGGACACCAGGACACAAGGCATTGGTCATGGCCATGAGAAAGACTTAAAATGCTGATGTTCCCATTCCTAGGACAGAAGCGCCACCATTCTGTAGTGACCGGAGCAGGAGCAGAGGCAGCAGAGGCACAGAGCCGGGGCAGGTGTCGGGGGGGAGGGGGGGGGGAGTGGAGGGGAGGGAGGTGGAGAAGGTGGCTTCTGGGAAAAGGAGGTGCCTGAGATGGGTCTTAGAAGGAGATGGGTCAGATTTTTCAGGGAAGGAGAGAGCACGGGGTCCAGGGGAGGAAGAAGAGAGGAGAGACGTGGAAAGCCTTGTGCTGTGGGAACAGAAGCCCCTTGGGAGTGTGGGTCCGTGCCTCCGCGTTCCCACAGGGGAAATGGCAGCGGTGGCAGTGGCCTACAGTGGGCAGGGTCTGCTGGTTCGCTCGGTCCCGCCCTGACTGTGTCCCTTTAAGGCCCCCTATGAAAGCTCTCATGTGGCAGAGCTTTCAGCGGTGTCCCCAGCAGGCCATCAGTGGGCCCAAGAGCTGGTGCCCTCGGTTCCCAGCCCCGCCGGCCTCCTCTGTTGACCACTGGGCGCCCTCATGTCAGCATTTTCGCAGTGTGCCATGATGTGAATTAAACTGGTTGGAGTCCTCAGAGACTGTGTTCAAATCTAACCTGCGAGGAGACCTCCCTTCAGTTCTTGGTTCCTACATCTCGCACACCCTTAGGGTGGAGGCAGGAGGGGTGGAGACGAGAGGAAGAACCAGAGAAAAGGAACCTGGCTCACAAGCCCCAGGCTACCAAGTGTTTAGTACATACCTGTCGGCTCAGTTTTTAAAACTGGTCCTTCGGCCTCTCCGTGGGTCAAAGCCCACCTCTCCTGGCGGCCTGGCAAGCTCGGGAAGGCTCTCCCGGCATAGCTAACACGGGGCTCCTCTGCCCAGGGCTCCCCGCAGAAGGAAGGAACCGTGCGCGCCCACGTCCAGCTCCACCTCTGCAAGGTTCAAGACCGCGAGCAGGAGCGGTGAGGGGAGGAGCGAGTGCTGCAGGGACAGGGGTCTCCTCCGCACCTCGGTCTGCCTGTCTGTGAGAGGGGTGGTTAGGTGGGTGGGTGTCCGAGGCCCCTGACGCGGCTGATGCTCCGCTGTTTTAAGCGAGAAGTCCCTGCTCTGCGACCTGTCTCGAGGGTCTCGATCACCAGGGACGGGCAGCCAGTGAACCCCGTCCCTCCCTAGATTGATTTTGGTGACCTCTACATTTGAAACCATTCAAACATGTCCCGCTCGTAGGACAGAAGCACAACCATCCTGAAGTGGTTGGAGCCCGGGCTGAACTCCAGTCTGCCCTTTGGCCCCTTCACCGGCCCCAGGGCTAAGGCCTCAGCCCCGAGCGTGGCCGGCCCGCCCGCCCCCACCCGCACCCCCACCCGCACCCCCACCCCCACCCCGTGGCAGAGCTCTGGCAGCCGAGTGCAGCCCAGGAGGGAAGTGAGCCCGCCAGTCCCCTCCGCGCCGCGGCGCGGGTGGGGCGGACCGCAGGAGCTCGGCGGCCCCTCCTGTGAGGCCGTCATTCTGGGGCTCCCCGGGCCCTTGGGGCCTGGGGCCAGATGAGCCACACGGGGGGAAGGGGGTCCCATTCGGAGATTCTGGCTGTCATGTGGTATTTGGTGGTGTGTGTTCTTATGTGTTTGTTGGCTACATGTGTTTTGAAAATTAGAATCATTCACCCTGAATTGTTATTTGTCAGGAAACAGAAAATGGGCGAGGAGAAGCCCCGTCTTGGGTTCCTGCCCTGTTACCATTTAAAATTGACATTTAATTTTTCCAATCACTGTTGGTGCCTAATCACTTAAGTTATTAATTTATTGTTTTCTTTTTAAAAAAAAAATTTGTAACACGTATTTATCCTGTGAGTAGGTCTGGGGTGGGGCGGGAACGTGTTCGTGTGGGTCCTGTTTTTGCTGTGGGGACACATGGTACAGGCCTGGCACGCGCAGGCCCCTTTTTACTGTGGTGTTGGAGCAGGACAACAATAAAGTCCATCAGAAGCGAGCAGTTGGCTGCTGCGGAGTCTGTCCGAGGTGCGGGCTGCCTGGGTCAGCTGAAGCATTTCCTCAATGCGAAAACTGTCTCTCACGGACCTAGGGAGGCTCAGGGCCAGTCTGCTCCACTGTCATTTCAATAGGAAATAACTGGGTACTTTCCTTGGCCGGAAACAAGAATGAACCGCCCCCTACCTCAGCTTCTGTATTCCCAGTGGGTGAAATGGAAACTGTAGTAACATCTGCCAATTCATCTTTCTTAGAAACCACCCTGGACTGGGACTGAAAAATGAATCTGAGTGTGACTTGGGGGCTGACAGGCTGTAGGCCCACTTTCGCTGTCCCTGAGCGCTAACATTTAAGGATCTATGACACGGGCCAAAACTCAACTCCACCCACTGCGCAGGCAGCCCTTGAAGCCACGCCCCGGCCACACCGCTGGTAGATGCCTCCCCTCGGTCCCTGCCGTCCCACCTCCTTTGTTCTCCTGAATGGCACAGGCGGTGCTGGTGGCAAGAGGCCCCTCCAGCTCCAAAGTGGGGTGGCCCCCGGGGAAAGGCCCTGCCTCCAGCTCTCCCGCGTCCCACCCAGGAGAGGCCACCTGCCCCTCAGTCCTCAGAGGGAAGGAAGGAGGAATGTGGCTTCAGCAGTAGCTACTTGTGGACAGGCAAGAGTTCTTGGGGGCTCCAGCCCCATCTGACAGGCAAGTCCCCTGACAACAGCCCATCGGGCAGCCCCCAGGCCTCTGCACCCACCACCCCTCCAAAGGCAAAGGGCTCCCTGCTTCTCCGAATAACGAGAGCATTCTTCCCTCTGCCAGCACCTGCCTCTGGGAAATGTCCCCACCTCTGGTCCGGACTCTGCCCTCTGGGGCCCTTCCAGTCCTCACCTTTCCTTACAGAGCACGTCTGTGTCAGGTGCTCTCACCTCCCGTGGTGCATTGCACATGTCAACGGAGCAGGGGGTGTACCTTCCTTAGTGCCTAGACACACCAGGGGTATGGTGGACACCACGGCCACTAGGTGGGAAGAACGACAGCTTTAAAGGCTTCAGAGAACCTATTTTTATTCCTGTTTGAGACGCCGGGTCTCTTCTCTCCATTGAGCAGGGGTACAGCGGTGTTAGGGCACGTGAGGGCAGCATCTACCCTGCTCCGAGCCCTGCCCACCAGCCCCCAGGCCACTGCTGCCCCAGCCGACGGGTGCCCAGCTCAGCCAGCCAGCCAGCCAGCCAGCCAGCCAGCCAGCCTCAGGACAGACAGTGGCTGCATGGGAAACAGACACATCTGCAGTAAAATAAGGCTTCTCCATCTTAACCAGAAGGGGATGCACACAGTGGCATCTCAGGCACTGAGGCAGGCTAGGGCAGAGGGGGAAGGGTCTCCCACTGTGAGGTCCCCGCCTCCGCGTGTTGCTGCGTGTCAGGGGGCAGACAGTCTCTGATGCTGTGCCAGGCTGCTTCCCACCTACACTCCTCTCAGAAGGACAAAGAGAGCAGGAACCCGCACGTTACCTTGGAAACCCCCTCTGAGGAGCAAGGCAGCCCCAGGCATGACAGGCGCCCCCCCCCCTCTGTGTGCAAGGGCGTGGCTCCCGCTCTGCTTTTTACACCATAGAGCAACAAGATTGTCTCAAAGGAGCTGGAAGGGCAATGCTACTTGATGGCAAAACATGAGAGCTGTGACGTTCTGCCCTGCAGGTAGTCTGCAGGGGACAAGGCTACAGTGTCCATCTAAGGTGCTTCAAGTTGACCAGGACACTTGGTAAAATCCTAATGGGACCGATCCCAGTGTCTGGGCCTGAGGCCAAGTTTACGGGGCTTGGCTCTCGCCTCTACATCCGAGCCTCTGTGTACCCTTCAGGCTGAGGGCCAGTATCCCAGAAGCTCCCCCTCCACCCTTCTTGCCCTCAGAAGGGCCTGCCTTTAGGATTGGACCGGCCTCCACAGCCTCCCTCACAGCCTACCTGGCAGAGCACCTCTGTCTGGGACCTAGGCCCCCACCTGGCTCCCAAAGGACAGGGGTCAAGGCCTCCCCTGAGGCTGTGGCTGGGGCACCCCCACAGGCAGGAACAGGGAAGGGTTCACATTAGAAGACCAGTCTGTGGAAGTCTCCGCCATTGCCACCAGCAGCGTTGCAGCCCCCGGGAGAGCCTTCGTCCTCATCCTTGTCCTCATCAAAGCCTCTCCCCCAGTGCGGGGACGCAGGGAGTGCAGAGATGTAGGCCGCCCTGCTCCGTGCCTCCTTCTCCTGCTCCTGGAACACAGATGGAGGTGGGGCGGGGGGGGGGGGGCTTAAAATCCAGGCTCCGAGGCAGGGCCCTCCCTTCATTCCCTCCCCCAACACCATCCAACATAGCACTTCCGAGTGTCCTGTAAGGTCCCCAGGGCCAGGCACAGAGGAGCCACAGCTTCTGCCCTAGAGGCATTCCAGCTCAGACGGAAGACAGGTGGGACGGATCCGTCCTTCCATCCTATTGTCTAGGCTTCAAAATCATTCTTCCTTCTCCCAGTAAAAACCCAGCCCTTCAGAGGAAAGGCACTCATTCATATTAGACTGTGATAGCCAATAAGGGCTTGATGTGGCCCCAGGAAGCAGGAGGTCCAGGGACTTCAAGGCTCATGTCGCACCACATAGGGACCTTCCCGAGGACTTCCTGGCGCCAGCCCCGGAGACCCCACCCCAGGTGCCGCCTTCCCCACAGGGACACCGACTCCAGGTGCTGCTGTTCATAGGTCCTGGCATGACCACTGCAGCTGTTTGTGGCCACTGTCCCTCTCACTGGTCAGCCCTTGTTCCAGTTGCTAAGTATTTTGACACCACCCTTGACACTAAAGGCTCGAGTCAAAGGCACAATGACAGAGGAGGCTCACTGGGTAGGGAGGTCCCCTGGATGCCCCAGAGGCACTCTGGACCTGTTCGTGCGACTCCACTCACAGAACCCCACTCTGCTCCTTCAGCGCACTTACAAAAACTGAATAAAAATTGACACTTATTCAATGTCTGATCCTTCGAAGTGAGGGGCTGTATCTTTTGGTCCACCAATATACCCCAGCATGAAGCGATAAACACATGGACGAAAGAAAAAAGGAAGAGACTCAGGAGCAGTAGCATCTCTGAGCCAGGGTAGCATTAGGAAGCTCTCCACCCAGGAGCTCAGACCAGGGGTCCCAACAGGTCTGCTCACCTGCAGGAAAAGGATGTTGTCTTTGGAAATGGCTTCCATCAAGTCTTTGTGGAGGGTGGGCTCTGTCCGGATTCTCGGGGAAGCCAGCACAGCCTCAGGTCCCTCCCCAGGCCGCTGCCGGTAAAAGAGCACATAGGCTGTGTCCTTGGGGAAAAAGGAAGTGACGTTGCTGACAGACTCGAAGGAGGAGAAGGACACCCTGGTGTCATTGAACAGGTACCACTGGTGCTCAGGCTCGGGCCTGTCGGCCGTTCCCGGCGAAGGGGCCGGGCGGGCAGTGCCCTCGCGGGCATAGCAGTAGTAGTGACCACTCTCCGAGGACACTCCGGAGTGCACCACGACACTGCAGAGGTCGTAGGCCTGGGCCTGGCCCCCGGCCAGCGGCAGGCGGAGCAGCAGGGGAATGGCAACGTCGTCCAGGATCTTGCGGCGCCGCATGGTGCGCAGGTCGAAGGAGAAGCGCAGCAGGGTCAGGATGAGGTAGCGTGGGCCCTGGCTCAGCTCCACCACTTTCTCGGCCTCCTGCAGCGAGGCGCACGACTCGCAATAGTAGCGGTTCTCTGCCGTCAGCCTCTCAGGGGACAGGAAGTAGTTGACCAGGTCCAGGACAGAGCGGGAGCCCTCCCCAGAGGGGGTGGCCCTGTGGGTACCTGGGCCCAGGCTGTCCTTCTCCTTGTCCTTATCCTTGCCTTCCTCCTTCTCCACCTTCTCCTCCTCTACTTCTTTCTCCTTCTCCCCTTCCTTCTTCTCTCTGGTCCCTTCTTCCTCCTCCTCTCTGGTCCCTTCTTCTTCCTTCTCTCTGGTCCCTTCTTCCTCTTTCTCTCTGGCCCCTTCCTCCTCCTCCTCCTTTCCTCTCTCCTCCTTTGATTCCTCCTCCTTCCCCACCTCCTCCTCCTCCTGACCGCTCTGCCCCCCAGGTCCCTGGGGGCCCGGACCTTCAATGTCTAGGACGGCTGGGGGGACATCCCCTGTGATGCAGTGTTTCCTCTGCCTCCGAGGACCCGCCCTGCTTTGGACGGGGGCCGGGGATGGTGAGGGGGGCTCCGGGGCTCCCACACCCTCGGCAGGGAGCATCACTGAGCCCAGGCGGCGGCGGCGACAGCGCTCGGGTGGGGGAAAGGCGAGAGAGAGGTCCGTGAAGGCCTCCTCCCTGGAGGAGACGTTGAGGCAGCTGAGACAGCGTATCCGAGTCACGATCTTGCCTCCGAACATCTTCTCCACAGAGGTGGAACTTGGGCCCGGGGGCTCCTCAGGCGGGGACGGCGAGCTGGACTGCTTGAGCTTCTGGCAGATCCTGGTCCCCGTTTTCTCCTCCTCATGAAGCCTGAAGCAGGGGGCACAGAGGCTTTGTACATACATGGATGCATTTCCAGTGCGCTGGCCTGATTCATGCCATCGACCTCACTCAGCTGGCCACACGATCAGACACATACACATGCAGGAGTCTGCACAGGGAATACACGTACCTGTGCAAATAGCATCCATGCCCTCACAAGCCAAGCACACACGCTACACATTTACTGCATCCAGGCACACAAACCTGCTACATACCTATCTATGTGCACGTGCCCCCAGACCTGTGACAAAAACACACATGCACACTCGGGCAAGCGCAGCACGGTGTCCTGCAACATACTTACCACGCCCGGGTCATGGTGCAGGTCGGCTTCGCCCAAACCTCCCTCACACCCAGCCCCGCCCCCGCGCTCACCGCACACTTCTCCAGACCTTCCACAAGGGCAATGTCGCGTCCCCACCTCAAGCTAAGGGGGGAAACAGCATGGAGGGGCGGGGCTCTCCCCCGGGCCTGGCCTCCCTTACCGATCCAGCAGGTACTTGAGGTACTCAGAGCAGTCCTGCTGGGTGCCAGGGCTGAACCAGGGTGTCCAGGAGGCGGAAAGGAAGTTCTCTGGAGAAATGGCAGGCCGCTAGGACCAAGGCACGGGAAAGAAGGGTCAGGGGCAGGAGCCTGCTCGCCAACCAGCTCCGCAGCATGCTGGGCCTGAGAGTCCACCTGGGGACTCTGTGCCCCAAACTTTCCAGCCTCCTCACTGAAGTCCCCTCTTCCTAGTCATCCCTGACCATCCCACCCCACCAAGCCCACGCAGCCTATGAGCAGGGAGCGCATCAGGTTCACAGAGATGAACAATCCTCTAGGCATCGGCTCTTCCCTGACACACCTCATACTCTCTCCAGGCCCCTGCTCACTGCTGTCCTCTCTGCCTAATACGCCCTTCTCCCCTGTCCAAAGCTTGGCTGCAGTCCAAGTCTCAGATGCACCTGTTCCACAATGTCACCTGTTCTGCGATGTCTTCCCAAGGGCCCCTCCCCCATCATAACCAACCTCTCCCTTCTGCATGTGCACGGCACACCACATTTCCTTCAGTCCAAGGATTACCACTGTTATCTACAGGTTCGTCTCTCCCCTGCACCCGCCCCCCGCCCCGACTATGAGCTCCGTGAGGGAGGCATTGTTGCTGACTCATCTCCATGCCCCGACACGGGGCCTTGCATAATGCCTGGCCAAGGCCTTTAGGTTCCATGAGGCCAGAGACAGTGGGCAAAGCAAATATGGTCCTCAGGGTACCTAGCAATGTGAGTGCTTAAAAATGGCAGCAGATGAACAATGCAACACCTGAAGCAGTGGACCGAATCACGGATGGGAGAGTGCACGGCTGGGCGGATGCGCTAGTGGGCGGCACGGCACAGAAGGGGCTTAAGGAGGCACCCCTGTCAGGTGACAGTACTGAATCATCCCCATGGGCTTTGGCCATGAACCCACGCTAGCCCAGACCGGGGCTCTTCCACCAGCAAGAGGGAGCCGCTAGCCAGATACAGGCAGGACGTGGGGAAGGGAAGGGCATCAGACCAAAGCCTCCTCTCTCCATCACGCCTCTCTGCATCACGCCCCAACTCCCCCTGCACTCACCTGGCTGTGCTCCAGGAAGGCGAAGAGCCACTGCAGCTTGGTCATCAGGGGCTGTGAGTTGTTCTCAGTCAAACGGAGCACACAGTGTCTGAAGCTTCAAAACACAGCAGGAGCACCAGAGTGAGCCAAGGGTACCCAAGGGGCCTATACCTGCCCACACCGCAAGCAACCCAGAGCCACCAGGCTTAAAGGCAGAAGAGACACCTGCAGCTTAAGTCTGGGCCAGGGACAGGAGAGGAGCAGCAGGTGAGCAACTCGGCTTGGATAATGAGGTGACCCCTAATGTCCCTTCCACTTCTGACATCCCATGACTCCAAGATTCAAAGATTCAAATGTCCTAGATCCTATGGCCCAAGGTTCTAAGGCTGGACCTCTCCGGGATGCTCCAGAGTGCATGCCAACCCCGTCACCTGCCCCGCTACCCCGGGAAACGGTGTTCACGCCCACTGAGAGCAGCCGACCTTGCTCCGACCTCGGCCCTCGAAGTCTGCTCTTATAAACTCCTGCTGAAGCCCCTGCCACTGTCCCTGAGCCCACTCCAAGGTGTTCCCCTGCCTTTAAATGAGCGACGCTGAGAAGAGGGCTCTGTAAGGGGACACTGGCTCCAAGGGACAGAGGTCTGATCCCATAAGAGATGGGAAGGAGCCCCTCCTGACACCCACATTCCCTGTGACAGTCAGGTTCCCAGGTGCCAGCTTAGGTCATGTTCTCACAAGGAGCTCTTGGCACACAGATCAGACCTGGCCGCGCTGTGTAGAGCAGAGCCACCGAAGCACGCTCCGCGCAGCCGTCTGCAACAAGGCAAGTCCAGAAATCGAGCACTTAGAAACTTGTGATTTGACATTGCTGAGACCATTCAAGCACAGGACCATTTTTCTAAGCCATTTTATTGTATTTTGCAAAAGTGATGGTCTGCAGAGCCTGGAAATTTTTAAAAATAAACAAAACTAGTTCTTCAGCAGGCAGTTTGAGAAGCACAGCAGCGGCCCATTAGCAAGTCCAAGAGATCCAACCTCCTCCTGCTGGACCCAAAGCTCAGAGAGAGCAAACTAATTTCAGGTCATACCACAAGCCCAAAGCAAAGCTCACTTACACTGTTGGTTTTATTAAAGATGTCTAAGTGTGGTCTTAGCAAAAGAATATTTGAATTCATCAGTGGAACAGAATAGAGACCCCAGAAATAGACTCACATAAATATAGTAAACTGAACACTGACAAAGGAGCAAAGGAAACACAACGGAGCCGAGACCGTCTAGTCAACAAATGGTACTGGAACAGCTGGACATCCACATGCAAAAAAATTAATCGAGACACAAAACCTTACACCCATCACAAAAATAAACTCAAAATGGATCATAGAGCTAAACAGAAAACAAAACTATAAAAATTCTAGAATAAAACACAGGAAAAATCCTGGATATGCTGATATCCAAAAAACCTTGGATATGCTGATGCCCTTTTAGGTTCAACAGAAATGATACACGGCAGAAATAACTGAAAAGCCGAATTTTATTAAAAACTTCTGCTCTGTGAAAGACAACACCAAGAGAATCAGGAGACAAGCCAGAGACTGGGAGAAAATACTTGCAAAAGACTCATCTGATAAAGGATGCTATCCAAAATGTACAAAGAACTCTTAAAATTCAACAATAAGGAAAAAAAAACAGTTTAAAAATGAAATGGGGGGAGCTAAACATCTTCACAGACATCTGACCAAAGAAAATACACAGATAGCAAAGAAGTACATGGAACGATACTCCACCATCATGTGTCTCAGCGAAATGCAAATGAAAATAATGAGATACATCTATTAGAATGATCAAAACCCAGAACACTGACAACGACAAATGCTGGGAAGGATGTGGAGCACCAGGAACTCTCATTCATTGCTATTGGGAATGCAAAATGGTGCACCTACTTTGGAAGTCAGTTAGGCAGTTTCTCACAAACTTTGAGAATGTTCTGGAGAACAACCCAAAGACTAGCTAAGCTAAGAACTCCTACAGCTAAGGATAGAAAGAAAAAGCCACGATGAGACTGGTAGAAGGGGTGGAGATACAGAATGGGCTATATACCATCATGGGCTTAACCACAAATGGGAGAGAGATCTCAGCAGTGCAGCGCCCCCCGGAGGAGTGAGGGGTCCCAGAGCCACAGCAGCCTCCCCAGCCCAGGGTTCCAATGCCAGGAACAGAAGTCCCCATAACTTCTGGCTGGGATTCCAGCAGCCCCAGCAGGGATGGGGAATCCCAGGCATCCGTAAAGGGCCTGTGCATGAACTTGGTCACTCACAGACTCACTCACTCTGAGCTCCAGTGCTGGGGCCACAGCTCGGAAAGTGTCACGGGTTTACGGGGAGGAGCTGAATTGACTAACTTCAGGTGGAGGACTGGAGCAGCTGGGGTGAGGGCAGCTCCCTGGGGTCAAAAGTGCCAGCAGATGCCACTGTTCCTTTGTTGAGCCCTGGCAGGCACAGGCGGGCACCGAACCTGAGCTCTCCATTAGCTTGGCTAATACAATCTGCCGTGCCTCACAATTCCCTGAGACGCTGCCTCACCCAACTCAAACGCCCCACCTCAACCTCTTCCGGCAGCTTCTCCATACAAATGGCCTGTCTCCACTCACACTGCAGACTTTCCTAAAATATCTCTAAGGTCCACAGATTCCTAACAAGCAGCATCTGACCTCCATGTGCCACATACCTCTTGCTAAGTGGCCCCAAATCCAGCAGTAGTGGCAGCCAGCCTCAGTTCAGAGCTCAGCTTCCCAGAGGCACCACCAACCTCGGCACAGGCAGCAACGAGCTGCTGGTCACTTTGTAGCTCCTACCAGGTGGCTCTGGACCAGGCACAAGGAGTAGCTGAACTTGGCCTGTACCAAAGCCCCTCCCAAGAGGTCCCAAAACCAACATACCGAGTGGCTGGCTTCAGACCACACCAGAGCACCACTAATGCGAACCCCACTCCCTGGGGTCAGCCCCTGCACAACAGCTCGTCCGCTGTAGTCACACCATTCCTCACAGCCAGTCAGCCTGAGGGTAAATCCCTCCCACTGACCAGCCAACGGCAGTCAAGACTCAGCTACAACAGAAGGGCACACACCACCAACACAATGGATACGCCTGGAGCACCCCAGCACAGGTGAGCAGGGAGACTGCGCCACAGAGCCCCACAGGACACCTACTGTACAAGTCCACTCTGCCATGACCAGGAGATGTAGCAGATCTACCTCATACAGAGACACAGAGCACAGGGAGTCCATCAAAATTAGGAGACAAAGAAACATCCCCAAAGAAAGAACAGAATAAAACTGCAGAAGAAGAACTAAACAAAATGGAGACAAGCAATCTACCAGATACAGAGTTCAAACGCTGATTATAAGATGCTCAATGAACTCAGGGGAAGAGTAAATGAACTCATTGAGAACTTTAACAAAGAGAGATAGGAAATAAAAATGAATATAGAAAACATTAAAAAGAATCTGCCAGAAAGGAAGAATAACTGAAATGAAGAATACATTAGAGGGAACTGACAGTAGATTAGCTTACTATTGCAAAAAAACAAGAACAACAATGACACACAGTAGATTAGCTGACACAGAGGATCGAATCAGAGATTTGGAAGACAAGAGAATAGAAAACCCCCCAATCAGAACAGCAAAATGAAAAATGTATTTTAAAAAAAATAAGGATATCTCTGGGTACTTATCAAACGTAACAACATTCACACAATAGGGGCATCAGAAAAAGAGAGAGCAAAGGACTGAAAACCTGGACACAAGTCCAGGAAGCACAGAGTCCCAAATAAGAGAAACCCAAAAAGGCCCACACCGAGACACATCATAATTAAAATGTCAAAGGTTAAAAACAAAGACAGAATCATAAAAACAGCAAGAGAAAAGCAGTTAGTTCCCTGTAAGGGAGCTCCCATAAGACTTCCAGCTGATTTCTCAACAAGGTCTGTGCAGGACAGAAGGTGCTGGTACAAAATATTCAAAGTGATGAAAAGCAAGGATCTACAACCAAGATTACTTTACCCAGCAAGGCAATCATTTAAAATTTAAGGAGAAATAGAGAGCTTCCCAGACAGGAAAAAGCTACAGGAGTTTATTGCCACCAAACCAATATTATAAAAAAATGTTAAAGGGACTTCTTCAACAAGAAAGAAAATATAAAAAGATCAAAAGCATGAATAATAAAGGCAATAATTACATACTTATCAATATTACTTCAAGTGTAAACAGACTAAATGTTCCAATCAAAAGACATAGTGTGGCTGAATGGATAAAAATACAAGACACATACATATGCTGCCTTCAAGAGACCCACTTCAGACTGAAAGACACACACAGCCTGAAAGTAAAGGAATGCAAAAGCATATTTCACACAAATGGAAACGCACACACAAAAAAAGCTGGGGTAGCAATACTTATATCATACAAAAGACTTTAAAACAAGGGCTATAACAAAAGACAAAAAATAACATTTCATCATGATAAAGGGATCAATCCAATAAAAGTATATAATCCCTGTAAACATTTACACACCCAACATAAAAGCACTTCAATATATAAAGTAATACATTAAATAAAAAGACCATATACCATGATCATGGGATTTATTCCTGGGATGAAAGGGTGGTTTGATATTCACAAATCAGTTAACATGATACACCACAGAAACAAAATGAAGGATAAAAACCATATGATCATATCAACAGAGGCTGAAAAAGCATCTGACAAAATCCAGCCCCCATTTATGATAAAAATGCACAGCAACGTGGAAATAGGGGGAGGGTACCTCAACATAGTAACAGCTGCATATGACAAAACCACAGCTAACATTATACTCAACAGGAAAAAACTGAAAGCATTTTCCCTAAGATCATGAACAAGAAAAGGATGTCCATTTTCACCACTTTTATTCAACATACTATTGGAAGTCCCAGTCACAATAATCAGGCAAGGAAAAGAAATGAAGGCATCCAAATTGGAAAAGAAGATGTAAAAGTGTCATTATTAGCAGATGACATACTACATAGAGCCCCCTAAAGACTCCACCAAAAGAAACTATTAGAGCTGACATATGAATTCAGTAAAGTAGGAGGATAAAAAAATTAATATTCAGAAATCAGGTGCATTTTAATACACCAATGACAAACTATCAGAAAGAAATTAAAAAACAATCCCATTTACAACTGCATTAAAAAACAAATAAAATACCTAGGAGTAAATTTAAACAAGGATGTAAAAGATCTGTACTTGGAAAATGATGACATTAAAGAAACTGAAAATACGAATAAATGGAAGAATATACTGTGCTCATAAAGAAAAAGAATTAACATTGTTAAAATGTCCATATTACCCAATGCAATCTACAGATTTGATAAAATCCCTATCAAAATTCCAATGGCATTTCTCACAGAAAAAGAAAAAACAATCCTAAAGCTTGCATGAAAATACAAAATACCCTGAATAGACAAAGCAATCCCGAGAAAGAAGAACAAAGCTGGAGGCATTATGCTTCCTGACTTTAAACTATATTACAGAGCTAGAGTAATCAAAATAGTATGTTAGTAGCATGAAAATATACACACAGATCAATGAAACAGAATGGTGCGCCCAGAAAAAAAGCCATTCATATATGGTCAATTACTACACAACAAAAGTGCCAAGAATATTCGATGGAGAAAGGGCGTTCACTATGGAAAACAGTGTGGAGGTTCCTCAAAAAGTTAAAAATGTAATTACTATATGACCCAGCAAATCTACTTCAAAAGAATAAAAAGCAGCATCCAAAATAAATATTTGTACACCCATGTTCATAGCATCGTTATTCACAACAGCTAAAACATGGAAGGAACCCAAGTGTGATCAAGTGTAACTGACCAATGAACAGATTACCAAAATGTGGGTTATACATACAATACACTATCATTCATCCTTTAAAAGGAAAGAAATTCTTCGATATGCTACCGTACGGCTGGACCTTGAAGACATCTGCTAAGTGAACTATCCCAATCACAAAAAGATAAATACTGTATAATTCTGCTAATATGAGGTACTTAGAATAGAGACAAAAATCAGTGACAGAAAAATATAATGGTGGCTGGGGGGAGGGGAAAATGGCAATATGGGAAGTTGTTGTTTAATAGGCACAAAGTTTCAGATTTTACAAAATGAAGAGACTTACGGGGTGAATGGTGGTGATGGCTGCACAATGTGAATGCACTTAATACCACTGCACTTAAAAATGTTTAAGATGGTAAATTTTTCGTTCTGTGCATTTTAACACACACACCAGAAAAGGAAAAGCAGGTCTACTTCTGTGGCTGAAACCCTGAGTGATTTTTAAGTAAGCCATAAGCTGGACAGGTAGCCATTGACAACAAAGATTTTGTTTGTTTTCAGAAAGGCGGGGGGTGGGGGGAGGAGCCTCTCATCCCAGGGCGAGGGGCAGTTCTACTCTGGGAGACACAATCCACCCATGGAGTCTAGGTGGGAAGCCAGGGATGCCCACCCACCCAGAGCGGACCCCTTCCCACCTCAGCCCAGTCCCTGGAGCCCCATCGCCAGTTCCTACCCAGTTTCAACCTCCTGCTTGGCAGTGGCCTGGAGACCTCTGGGTCCCTCGCCTGTCCTTCCTGTACCCGCAGCCCTCAGGGAATAATGCCAACCATGCAAAGCAGGATTCACCTCCTCCAACCCCCATCCTCACCCTTATCTTCACACACCAGGGAGCCCAAATGAGAGAGGCAGGGACAGACAGGGAATTCAAAAGCAGCACCTACTCAGAAGCCATGAACAAGGCCTGAAGGATACTGTTCACATAGCACGTGTTGCCCAGATTGATTAAACCAATCTTGCCCGTGTCTGACTTGGCCATCAGCCGGGGGAAGAAGCCAGCCAGCTCGCTCTTCTGCGAGGTCCAGGCATCCTGCCCCAGCAGCTGCTTGATGCGGTCCTCATTGGGAACATGAAGGTCCTGAGGAGGGAACAAGCCAGCAGGAGAGTGAGCACCAGGGTCAGCAAGAAAAATGTCACCTCCTCTGGGGAGCCTTCTTGGACTACAGCCTACCCCACACTCATGCAAGCACACTGCCCACAAATGTTCTAGAGATGTGTGTGAATAGCCTCCTGCTTTCAAACGTACCCTTCTGACATAGGAGCCTTCTACATGACCTTTCATGTCACAACTGCCTTAAGAAGGTGGTAAAATCCCCATTTAATAAATGAAAAACCTAGGACTCAGATAAAGCATTTCCCAGGGACATACAGACAGTACGTGAAGAATCTGTACGTTCTGAGAAGAGCCCAGGGCATAAGAGGCTCTGAGCAATGACAACATTGGCCCACAGGTCCGGCGCTGTCAGAATCTCAGTCCTAGTCCTGACTCTTGTCCTCACTAGCACTAGTGGTCAGTGAGCCTCTCTCAGTCAATTAACCTCCTTGGGCCTCAGTTTCCTCATATGTCCAATGAGGACACTCCTGCCTGATGTTAGGGGGGCACTGTAGAGTGTCACGGGACTCGCACGCAGGACACTCCTGCTTCACCAATCGCTTCTAGGTTTTGCAGGGTCAGCTTTTCTGGAGTAGTCACCCCCTGGAACTCGGTCCTACAGTCAGGACGGTGAAAGTACCCCGGGAGCCTGAGGTATGGGCCCTTGGTCACGGGCTCGGGGACTAGCAAGCTTTCCCACTCATCATCCTTTTCACATTCAACAGATGCAACTAAAAGAAAACATTGCCAAGCGCTGGTCCTATTGTAAAGAAAGATACCTAAGCATAACGTAGAGTTGCTCAGTAAATGTAAGTGACATTCATAATAGTTCCACTAGCACTGCTCTTATTTCTAGATCCCGAGCACAGTCCCTAGATTTGTTCAGGGCTCCAGAGCTTCACACCAGCTTAGCACCAAAGCACTTGTCTGCCGAGCACACTCCTCCGGCCACCGCAGAAGTCTGGCTCAGGCAGGGCTTCAGTACGTCTGCTGTCATTTGTCAGGATCACTTATCAGACAGTTTATCGGATTAGTCAGTCACCTCTCCCGGATAATAAAAAATGCAGGAACTGCCAGTGGTGAAATAAAGAGATATGGGCTCCTTACGGTCTCTCTTAGTCCATTCTTCTTCCTTCCTATTAGCCCTTATCCACTCCCCATTCCACACACAATGCAAACAAGTAGGGACAAAAAAGCAGCTAGAACTCCAAACATGCACTTGCACTTGCACACAGAAGATGCAATAATATCCACACTGGAACATAAACATCAAATATCACCTTCCCAAGGAAGGTAATTTTGTCTTCTTAGGAAAATAAAATAAAAACTTCCAAATAACTCTTTTTTAAAAAGATTTTATTACACTTATTTATTTTTAGAGAGAAGGGAAGGGAGGGAGAAAGAGAAGGAGAGAAACATCGATATGTGGTTGCCTCATGCACACCCCCTACTGGGGACCTGGCCTGCAACCCAGGCATCTGCCCGGACTGGGAATCAAACCAGTGACCCATTGGTTCTCAGGCCAGCGCTCAATCCACTGAGGCACACCAGCCGGGGCTCCAAATAACTCTTAAGCTCCTAATGTTTACATACGATGTCTCCCTTCACAAGGACCACAGCTCCCAGAGAAACTGCCATAACCTGATACAACCGTCTATGTGAGAGAACTTTCCAGAATTTACTTATAAAGGAGCCAAGATACAAAGAAGGATGTGCTCAGAGAACACATGCGAAAGAAAGAATATGTAAACTTACAGCCTGGAGATTTTATTAGTACAAACTGACTTGTACCAAGGGGCACTCAGCCAAAGCCGCGGGACAAAAGTAGCACATCTTCCTGGAGCTACAGCCTCTAATATTCAAGGAAGAAACAGCTTTATATTAAAACAAAAGTAATTATGAAATACTTACTTGAATCTTTGAAATAAAATGAGGTTTCTAGAGAAACTCTGAGCTTGTGTCAGCTGCTTGGGGTGGGCCCCCTCCTCTGACATCAAGCACTTCAGTGGAAACGTTCAGTGGAATCAGCTAGATTAGGCAGGCACACTCCGCCTGGTTTTCTAGGCCCTTGCCCTGCTGACCTTACTGCTCTGCACCACACCCCCCCCACACACCTTTCCCTCTCCCAGTCCCCATCTTTAATGGTATAACCCCTGTCCTCTCTCTGTAAGGGTTTCCAGGATCTTCTCAAATGGAGTCCCCACTCTCTCTATAGCTGTCTTATAAAGTCTACCTCCCTGTACCTGGCAGCCTCGCCCTGTGCCCCGGAGCAGACCAGAGCCCCTAGTGCGCACAGCCTGGGTTTCCCTCAGCACCCAGTGCACGGCCTGCTCCCTCCTCCCAGGTCACACCTCCATGACAGCAGTCTTCACACTACAGTCACGCTCACTCACTCACAGTTACTGGGCACAGAGATCAATGTGGCATGTATCCGTGCCCGCCAGAAGCTCACAGTCTGACAGGAAATAGTACCAGTCACTTCTAGTAAGTGGAAGTCCTGTCTCGTCTGCTCACCTATCTCCAGTGACAGGGAGCTCACAGCCTGCAAAGCAGCCCCTTCTTTTGTAGGGGAGCTCCATTAAACTTTCTCATGTTGTTGAAAAAAACTGAGAAGATCCAAGAAAACGCAGGAGGTTTTGTAGATTGTATCTACCAACTATCACTCATTGTGGATTGTTTCCTTGGATGTTTTGTAATTTTTGAATTATAAACTCATCTTCAGAAGAATCTTATCTTTGTGGTTTGAAAGCAGTTTCTTTTGTTTCAACAAGGCAACCCTGGGTATTACAAGTTTATGACTACTGTTAATATTAGTGACTGAGCTTAGGGGTCCCACAGTCTGAAAATGCTATGAATTTGAACCCTTAAGATGACATGAGGGCAGGCCGCTAATTGCAAGTTTCTTCTTTTTAATTAATTTATTTTTTTCTTTTTTTAATTTATAAATCATGTTTACTCTATTACAGTTGTCTCAATTTTTACCCATTTACCCACCTCCACCCATCCCACCCCACTCCCCACTCCCACAGTCAGTTCCCCCTCTGTTGTCCGTGTCCATGGGTCATTCATACATGTTCTTTGTCTAGTCCCTTCCCCTTCTTTCCACCATTGTCCTCTTTCCCCATCCCCTCTGGTCACTTTCAGTCTGCTCCATGTTTCTGTGCCTGTCGTTTATTTTGTTTGTTAGTTTATTTTGTTGAATAGAGTCCACTTATAGGTGAGATCATATGGTATTTGTCTTTCATCAACTGGCTTATTTCACTTCGCTTAATATTCTCCAGTTCCATCCATGTTGTCACAAAAGACAGGAGTTCCATCTCTCTCTCTTTTTTTCTTTCTTTCTTTTTTTCTTTCTTTCTTTCTTAAATGCAGATTGATTTTATTTATTTTTTTGGATGTCAAAGTTAATTATAAAATATTTAAAAAAATTAAAACCATTATAAACTCTCAGCAATTAAACCAACATGACATCATCACAGAAATAATCAAGTAGATCAATGAAATATAAGGAGCATTCTAGAGACAAACATATATATCTAACAATATATGATTAAGTTGATATTTCAAATCAATGGGTAAAATAGGGCTTATTCAACAAATAAGGTGCATGGACCACTATTACTTGAAATAGAACAAATATAGAGCCCTATTTCACATATTATACAAGAAATATTCAGGTGAGTTAAAAATCAATATGTAGAATCTAAGGAGTTTTAGAAGAAAATAGAACTAATATTTTTCCTGACCTGAAGTAAAATATTCAAACCCAGAAGTTATAAATATTAACAATATGACTACATTAAACATTTAACTATATAGTAATATACATGTAAAAAAGTTAAAGGACAAGGATTAGAATAGAAAAGTATTTGCAACACATCTAAAACATGGTAAAGAGGGTTTTTTTTTGGGGGGGGAGTTCTACAAACCTTTAATCAATAAATGGATAAAGAAAACCAAAAAGTCATTTAAAACTTTAAAAAAAAATAGAAATAGGCAAGAAATATACTAAAACAGGTTTAGTTTCAACAAACACTAAAGGAACAATTAAAATAACATCATTGTCACAATCAGATTAATGAATATTAAAAATATTGGTAATATCAAGTATTCGCAACTCTGAAAGGAACTGGATAATCATAGAACTTGTTCTTCATCTTAAAGCAGTCCCTTTAGCATATTTTGCAGTGCTGGTTTGGTGGAGGTGTAGTCTTTTAGCCTTCTTTTGTCTGGGAAACTCCTTATTTCACCTTCCATTTTAATTGAGAGCCTTGCTGGGTAGAGCAGTCTTGGTTGCAGGCCTTTGCTTTTCATGACTTGGAATATTTCTTGCCACTCCCTTCTGGCTTGCACTGTTTCTGTTGAGAAGTCAGATGCTAGCCATACCGGGACTCCCTAATATGTTACTACCTCTTTCTCCCTTGCTTGCTTTAGGATTCTGTTTGCCTTTGATATTTGCTATTTTAATGATGTGTCTTGGAGTGGGCCTCATTGGGTTCCTCTTGAATGGGACCCTCTGTGCTTCCTGGACTTGTGTGACTTTTTCTCTCCTCCAATGAGGGAAGTTTTCCATCGTTACTTTTTCAGACAGGTTCTCTATCCCTTGCCCCTCTTCTTCTCCTTCTGGTATCCCTATTACATGGGTATTATTACGTTTCAGTTTGTCCTGCATTTCCCTCAACGCCTCTTCACTCTTTTTGAGTCTTTTTTCATTTTCTTGCTCTTTCTGGGAGTTTTTTTCTACCTTGTCCTCCAGCTCACTGATTTGGTCCTCAGCTTCATCAAACCTGCTTTTGATTCCTTCTACTGTGTTCCTCAATTCATAAATTGTATTCTTCATTTCCTCTTGTCTCTTATTGATCGCTTCTACGTCCTTTTTCATGCTGATATAGTTTGCAGTAAGTTCCTCGTAGTTTTCCTGTAGTTTTTGGTAATTCTCTCTGAGCTCACTGAGCTCATTGAGCTTCCTTAGAACCGTTGTTTGGAACTCAATATCTGATAGTTTACTTGCCTCTATTTCATTTAGTTCTTTTTCTGGGGATTGCTCCTTTTGCTTCGAGTTGGGCGTATTTCTTTGTCTTCCCATTATTTGTGAGACTCTTCTCTTTTGCTTCTGATTCTTAAGTTGACCTGTCTTGCTTTCCTGACTTTGTGGTGTGAACTTCTAAGGTTGGAGACCACTGTTTTTACTTTCTAGATCTGCCTCTGATGATGTCAGACGTTGACCCTGTCTGACCTTAGACAGTCTGTTTGAGACTTCCAAGAATCTACTGTTTGTGGCTGTCTCCTTCAGCTGTTAATCCATTCACTCTGCACTCAGCAGGCCGCCTTAGACAGCTCAGTGCTGGGCGGAGTCCCTCCTGGGGGCAGGGTCATTGGGTCCACTCACGCTGCTGCCCTATGGGGGAGGAGTCCGCACTGGGATCTCGCTGGCTACTCTCTCTGTTCTCTCCCCAAAACCTCCATCCCCAGTCTCTCAAGTGTCGCCAGACATCTCTGTGCCCCTTTTAGCCGAGATCTACTGTCTGTGGCTGCCACTCTGCACTCAGCAGGCAGCTTAGACAGCACAAGGCAAGGTGGAATCCCACCTGGTGGCAGGGCTATTTGGTCCTTTGATGCTGGTGCTGCTCAGGGGGAGTGCTCTCTTCCTGAGCAAAATGGCTGCTGCCGCATGGGGGGTGAGTCAGCACCGAGATCCCACTGGCTACTCTCACAGTTCTCTCCCCAAAGCCTCCTTCCCCAGTCTCTCCTCAGGCGTCTCTAGCCAACTCTGCCCCTGCCTTTGCTGGAGCTCAGGGTAAGTGGCTGCAAATAAAAATTTATGCGTTGGCCCTTTAAACAGTTCTTTGCATCTCCAGCCGCCTGTCTCTGGCAGAGAGCAACCCTGCCACTTTTCGTGGCTGGCTGTCTTCTGTACACCTTTTGGGCTCTGGTGCTGTGGGCTGGAGATCTCTGCTTATGGTTTAGACCCCACTCTTCTCAGGGGGATCCAAAAGGCCATTTCAATATCCTTCTGGTGCAGCTGCTCGTGGGCACCCCGCCCGCCTTCTCAGGTCTTTACTGCACTCCTTGCCAGTTAAATTGCACTAAAGCTGATTCTTCTGTCTCTGAGGTTACAAGTCTCCTCTCTCACCACTGTTCAGTTGTTTGTTCCAGGTGATTTCCCCACAATTGAGTTGTAATTCCAGGTTGGTCCCGGGAGGAGTTCAGTGTGACTTCCACTCACTCCTCTGCCACCTTGATTCTCCCACAAGTTTCTTTTTTTCCAATGCAGAGTCCAGACCAAGCAGGAATGTTTCCTTGACATCCATTTGGGACCATATGTATATTTTCTCAAGATCAGCTCTTGTTAGGAGTAACACCTTTCTCGGGTCCTGGCTTATGTGGGCCTCTTAGCGCTAACTCCCCACGAGGGGCAGACCCTGAGCCTCACCTCCAGTCCCCATTGGCTCAAACCCCTTGGTGACTGATGGCCACCTCAACTTCCCTCCCTCCCCTTCCCAGGGCAAAAAGAGCATCATCTCTCACCATTCTGGAATTCAGTTTTCTCTTTCTTTTTGGCCCCTGGAGATTCCCCCTTACTTTCTTGCAAGTTCAACTTTGTACTTAAAAAAAAATTTGTTACATTTTAACAAGCCTTTCTAGGTGTTTTGTAGTGGGACACTTTTCAGTTTATCTCTCAGCCAGGCTACAGAAAGGGCCACCTCCTGCCTAGACATCTTTCACCCGCACGTGAACCTTCCCTCTGTAGGAGGCAGCCCAGTCCTGGCTGTGTCTCTCACTACCTCCATGACTTTGCACAAGTCACCAAACCTCTCCAAACCTCATTTTCCTCATCTATGAAACAATTAACTATAGTACGTGCTTGACAGACTTCTCATGAGCATTAGAAGAGAAAAGACATGGGGAAACACTGTCCAACGTGGCACTATCTACAGATGTTAGTTACTGTCCTAGCAACCCAGCCAGCCCAGTTCAGCAGCTCTTTTTTCCCTAACTGGAGCTCTTTCCCTCCTCCAGTTTCTCACTGCTCCTGGCTGACCCTCAGGGGTGTTTCATAAGATGTTTAGATCAAAGTTATTTTATAGAAGTTTGTCACCCGCCCCAAGGCTGAAGTCTCCACAACGGAGGTGACTCATGGCTGTGTCCCCAGTTTCTAGCCTGCGCCTAGCACAGAGTAGGGTATCAGTAAAGTCACGTGAACAATTGTAACCAACACCTGCTCTGGAGTGCTCAACATCTGGTGCGGAGACAGACACACAGACATACAGTGACAATGTGTGACAGATGGATACCCCCGGGCTGGGAGAGCCCAGAGAGATCCTGACCCAGAGAGGTGGGGGCTAACCTCAGGAAGGTATTGAGAGTTATCCGGGAAGGCTTCCTGAGGGAGGCTAATAATTAAGCAGAGCCTTACAGGATGTGTAGGAGCTCGCCAGGAAGAACAAGGAAGGGTTTAAAGTTAGAGAGAATGGCATATGAAAAGGCTCAGAGCAATCATGAGACAGGCTGGCTCACCTGGGGAACGGCAGATGGCTCAGTGTGCCTGAAGCAGCACAGGATGGGCCGGGGCAGGTGATGGGACTGCCACCAACCTGTAGTATGACCCTGAGCAAGGCCCAGACTGTCACTTCTGTCAGCGTGGAGCAAGGGAGCACTGGGGCACTGTCACTCACCTTGACGGCCTCCATGACGGGCTCATACAGGTCTGGGAATCCCGGGAACCGGAACACCATGCAGTGGACCAGCTCTGCCAGCTGCTCCAGGCAGCTGGTCCCCGAGTTGGAGTCCTCCTTGAGCAGAGAGGCCACCATGGGGGGGATGTGAGGGAGGAGCTGTGAGAGCAGAGCGGGGTTAGGCTCAGCACCGGTTTCACGCCTGAGACAGGGGATGCCGGGCACTGCTGAACACGCCCAGAGCCTGGGGCAGGAGATGTGCCCACCCAACCACGACCCCCTTCCCCCACACAGGGCTCTGAGCTCTGCAGGCAGGTGACTCTCCTTACAAGATCTGTGACCCTGGACACCCTGCCTCAGTCTTTTCTCCCATAAAGTGGGATTAATAATTCCCTCCTCATAGTTGAGGGGAGGCCTGAGCCCAACCAAGCCCTCGCTGTTTTAAGCCTCAGCCTAATGACCTGCCAGGAGGCCTGAGTGACCAGGGCTCCTCTGCCCACCCAGGAGTGATGCCAGCTGGTGGGCGGACCTGACAGGGCATGAGCAGCCTCCTCTGGGGACAGACACCATCATCTTTCACCAAACATACACATTGAGCTTTATCTTCACAATAGTTTTATGTGGCAGTGATTATCATCCCCACTGTCCAGGTGAAGAAGGTGAGGTTAGAGAGGTGATACAATGTGCCGAGGATATCACCACGGGCAATGGGAAAAGCTGCTGTCTGAATCAGGTCTGTCTGAATCCAAAACCCAAGTCTCTCTTCTGTGCTATGGGGCGTTAAGCGCCATACCCGAGGCAGGGCTGCCCCAGAACGCCCCAGGGCGGACAGAGTCAGGTCACAGGAGCTGGGCGCGGGCAGCCCAGGAAAAGGGTGAAAGGAGGCCAACATCTGTCCAGTTCCCTTGTATGCAGCAGGCTTGACAAATGTCACCTCACCTAACCCTCTCCCACCATCCTAGGGGTTTACCTCTGCTCAGGCTGAGAGGTATGTCCCTGGCCCAAGGTCACCGCCTCTGGCAAAGTTGCAGAGCTGAGGCTCAGCCCCAAGCACCCCAGTTCCTGGTTCTGTGCTTCTCCCTCCACAGCAGACAGGGAGGCAGGAAGTTTCTGCACTGACTGGGGGCCCTCAGAATCTACGGTCCCATCTGCAGGTCCACAGGAGGCAGGCAGGAGGGAGGCAGGCGGCCCGCGGGCCCACAGGCTGTCCTTCCCGAGCGAGAGCCTGGGAGCGAGCAGAAAGGGCCCCAAGCTGGAGGCCAGGCCCCCTGGTGCTGGCAGACAGCAGGGCACAGGAAGGGCACTGGGTCAGGAGTCACACCAGCCTGGCTAGACTCCTCCCCATGCCGCTCACCAGCTGTTGTCTGGGCAGGGACTGACACCCTCTCTGAACTTCAGTTTCCTCACCTGGAAAGTAGGGAAAATGACAGGACCTTCTTGAGGCTGTTCTGGGAGGTGAGTGAGTGCACATATGGGATGCCTGTAGCTCTGTAACTGGCACACAGCTGTTACCCAGGGAACAGTAGCTGTCATCATTCCAGGCTTGTCACTCTCCTACAGGCCCATGGGGAGGCAATCCAAATTCTGTGGCCTCACTTCCCTTTCTGTAAATTGGGGTCTCAAGTATCCTCCAGTCCTAATACCCAAGGTTTCAAAGACTTGGACTTTAAGCTCTGACCCCTTAACCCTGAACAGAGACACCCTGTCTGGCCTCCAGCCCGACTGGTAGGGGACACAGCGGGGACGGGCCCTTACCAGGTGGAAGGCCTCATGGGAATGCTGGAAGGTCAGCAGCATGTACTTGAGGACAGACAAGGCAGCTCCCCGGACGATGGGGTACAGGAGTTTGGAGAAAACCTGGAAGACAGTCCCTCGTCAGGAGGCCTCCAGGCCTGGGCCACCCAAGACTGAGGGGGATCAGAGACACTGGACCTGACGCAGCAGACCCGGGCCAGAGCGAGAACACAGAGGCGCTCACAGGCCTGGGCACACGGACAGACGGTGACATGGACAGCAAGCTAGATATCTGATGGATGGATGGACAGACACACCAAAAATAACATATATATGCTTGAATGAGTGATCAGAGGAAAGAAGGGGGAACCCTGAGGCTCAGAGAGGGGCAGTGAATTGTCCCAGGTCACAGGCAGTGTGGGCGAGAGCCCCGGTGCCCTGCCTCTTAGACCTGCACCGTCGCTGGCCGGGGAGGAGCGGGAGGACACAGCAGGGGCCAGGCCTGGGGCCCACCAACCTTCTCGATTTTGGCGAGTGAAACCTCAATCAAGATGCTGAACTTCTTAACAGCGGCCAAGCCCTTCAGCAGTGCAATGATCCACTTGTCAATGTTCTTCCCCAGGGGCCAGGACACCCAGTCGATCATCCTGGTGAGGATAATGACAGTGACATAGGGGCCAGGGAGGCCCAAATGCCTGGGCGGGCGGTGGCAGCCCAGGAACTAACCATAATGTCCTGCGGCTCCACGATGACTCGCCCTTCACAGGGCAGTCCTGGGGCATGTGGGATGAACGAGCAAATGAGCCGAGCACAGGCAGCTGGCGGAAACTGGGACTCCCGGCCCAGCAGGAGGGGAGCCTGGCCCCCTCAGCACCCCAAACTTCACCCCCACACACGCTGGGCTGCAGAGGAAAAACAGGGTTTTCGACTGCCTCTGCCTGGACCCTGGGGCCCAAGAGCAGGAAGAGCTCTGACCCCAGGGCCAGAAGCTCTGGCCCCAGCAAACCGTGTCTTGTGAACTGGAGCAAGTCATTTACTCTCTCAGCCTCAGTTTCTTCCTCTGTAAAATGGGGGCAATGCCTACTAACAACAGGGTTGCTATATGGATTAAAAGAGGTTATAGTGAACACTTACGTAGTCTTACTCTGCACCAGGCACTCCTCTATCAGCCCATCTGACCCCCACAACGTGCTAATACCTGTGCACACTGAGCATGAAGCTACCACCTAGTAAGTGCCCAGGAAAATGTCACAATTGTTATTTTTATACTCAAGTAGACTGCACTATTGGGTTAGCCAAAAAGTTCGTTTGTTTTTTTCTGTAAGGTGGGTCTAGGAGCACTTAGTTGTCTTTAATTTCATTCGAAACAATTTTATTGGATTGTGACAGTTATCATATCAGGGTGCATTTGAAAAATACCTATCAGAATAGATGAATTTTTGTATAGCCATTTTAATATTGAAGATGGAAGAAAATATGCAACATTTTCAGCATATTATGCTTTATTATTTCACAAATGGAAAAACACAACTGAATGCAAAAAAAGATTTCTGCAGTGTATGAAGAATTTGCTGTGACTGATCAAATGTGTCAAAAGTGGTTTGCAAAGTTTTGTGCGGGGGATTCTTGCTGGTCAATGCTTCATGGTTGAGCAGACCAGTTGAAGTTGACAGTGATCAAATCAAGACATTAATTGAGAACAATAAACATTCTACCACGCAGGAGATAGCCGACATACTCAAAATATTCAAATCAATAAAGTTATTGGTAAAAATAAAAAATGTATCTTTTATTTTACGGAAAAAACTAAATGGACTTTTTGGCCAACCCATTATAAAGAGGTAGAACAATGTGAAAACAAAGTAACAGTAACTACAATAATAACAGCTTTCAGGAACTTTACATGTATTTTGTGATTTTTATCTAATTTAATCCTCAAAACAACCTTATAAGAGGGATTTGGTTATACTATAATTTATAGATGAGAAAGCTGGAACATAGAGGAGTTGAGTAACTTGCCCAAAGTCACACAGGCAAGAGGTGCTAGAGCCAGGATTTGAACTCAGGCCCCTTACCTCTAGCACTCACACTCTTACCCACTAAAGACAAGGAATCCAGGAAGGCCCAATGGAGACAGTGGGTCTATACACAAGTATGGAAGAAATGGCAGGATGAGACATGCCAGATGAATGGGGTCTGCAGAGCCACAGGTCTGCAGGCAGGAGGTTAGGTGGCATTTTCTGGGGTCACTGGATCAGCAGGTATGTCTAAGTCACAGGTGTGATGATGTTCAAATAAGGTGAGGGATGTGCAAGAACTCTGAGTGAGCTGAAAAGCACCGCAACTCCATTTATCATACTGGCCAAACTCAGAAAACACTTAGTAAAAGTAATTCCTTTCACTTAATATGACCCCATGGAAGCCTGACAACTTCTTATACCACCACCCACATCTGCTATTACAGAAGGGGAAACTGAGTCTCAGAGAGATCACTGACCTATCCAGGGCCTTAGAGCTAGTACCCAGCTTGGGAGCATCCGTAGGGCAGGACCCTCTGTGCCTCCCACATCTGGCCCTGGGCTGGGCACGAAGCAGGGCTCAAGGAAATATGGATGAATCAGCAAGCAGGAGGGCCTGGGCCCCTAAACATTAAATCTGGCCCAGCAATCCCACCCAGGGGAGGGGGCTTCTGGGAAGGAGAGAGATCTGACCAATACTGTGTCTGCAGCCCACCTGCTGATGGCAGTCAGCATCTGAGAGTCTGTCACACTGTCGTCATTGCTGAGGTTCCGGATGACACCATCCATGAGCTCCAGTGGGAGGTGCTGGACCACGCTGGCCAGGGCACTGGACGGTGGCTCCTCCTCTGGAACAGGGGGCTGGGCTTAGTTTAGCAAGGCTGGTGTGTCCCTCATGTCCCCCCTCACCCCATGCTCTCATGCTGCCAAGGAACTAAGCTAGGCCTCTTCAAAGAGCACATCCAGGCCACCTCCTCAGCATCACAGCCCTGATTCAGTCTTAACTCATTCACTTATCAGACCTTCACTGGCCCTTCTCTAGGTCCAGCCCCGGGCTAGGAACACACACTTGCGCACGTGCACAGACACACACACACACACACACAGCAATGACCCCCATCTGCAGGTGTACAGGCAAGGCCTTTAGGAAAGGCTAAGATTGGAGTTGGCAAAAGCAGGAAAGAGGCCCATACAGACTTGGGGGCAGGGAATACATTCCAGGTCGACCCACACAGACAAAGGTCTAGAGGTGAGAAAGAACATTTAGTTATCAAAATTTGTTGTCCAATTATATAAAGACCCAGGTCCTTACACACCCAGCCTTGGTTCTTCCTGCTGCCAAGTCCATTACCTTCCTTTCCCCTAAACAGCCCTATTGGCAGGGAAGGCACAGATCTTATTTCAGGCATTTCTGCTATAATCCAAGTTCCAGCTCTCAATGGAGGACCAAGATTTTACATTTCAGAGTTGACACCTACAGGCTACAACTGTGTTTCCAGACCTTCCCTCTGCCTGCCCAGAGCACCTTGCCCCTGCTGCTGCCCACCTCACCAAGATGTGGCTCAAAGGTCACCAATTCTAGGAAACCCACGTGACCCCAAGGGCATGATGTCCTCCCTCCTGTTGTCTCACTCAGGCCCAAGGTCCTTCTCTGGCCAGATTAATCTGGGTTTGTCCTTTTCCCACACCAGGCAGCCTGTTCCTCCCTGTGCACCAACACGCCGCAGGACAGGACTCACAACAGGTGCTCCGCATACGCTTGCTTAACTAAATAACAGGTGCTCCACATACGCTTGCTAACTAAATAGTGGAACACCACTCGTCCCACCTGTGCATTCACCCTTGACACATATATATCACACCGCACGTGGGCAGGCCAAGCACAATATGTACGGTCGGCCAGCTGCGCTGGCGCACACCCAGAACCTTGATACACGAGCTCCCTCCCGCCCCAACCCCAGCTTAGGCGCACACGCACCTGTGCAGGAGATGACGGCGAACAGCTCCTTGAGACAGGGCAGGATGGCGGCCGGCTGCGCGCGCCACAGCTGGGCCAGGAGTCCGCTCACCTGCTGAGCCTGCTCCAGGAACTCCACGGCACCCTCCTCGCCCTCGGCCGGGCAGCGAAAGCGACCGAGGCAGCGCACCAGCTGCTGGCAGAAGAGCAGGCGGTGCGGGCCGTCGGGCACACAGCGCGGATGCCGCACCAACAGCCGGGCCACCTGTGCGCAGGCCGCGGGCCCCGGGCGCTCGCACACGGTGCGCAACACCTCGCGCCTCAGCAGCGCGAACACCTCTTCGGCCGCAGGCCCGTCGGGCAAGAGCTGCAGGCCGAGCTGCACGCAGGCGAGCGCGCGGGGGCCAGGTGGGCCGGCGCCACCCTGCAGCAGGCGCAGCACACGGCGCGCGCTGAAGAACTCGGCGAAGACGTCTGGGTGGTGGCGGCCGGCTACGTGCAGCAGCTGGCAGCCCACGCGGCGCGGCAGCTCGTCGGCGCCACCCACGTACAGGCGTGCGCCCAGCGCCAGCAGGGCCAGACACTGCTCCCGCTCCAGGGGTTGCCGTGCCGCTTCCAACACGCGCCGCACCAGTCCTTGTTTCACGCTAGCCGGGTACGACGACGTCACCACCGCCTCAAGGATCTTGTCCATGGCGGCAGCCTGCGGGGTACAGGGCGCAGGTCACACTCAGCCCGACAGGATTGATTCCCCATGTGGTTCCCGGCGTACTGAGACCTGGGGCGAACATCTCTGGATCGCAGTTTCCTAATCGGGGAGGTGGAGCACTGATACCAACCTCACTTGAAGGTGTTTTGATGAAATAAAGCACTGTGCCTGGCATATACTAAGCCCCAGTGAGTTATAGTTACTGCTGGTGAGCGTGTCTAATCTCACAAAGGTAACACCTGAGCTCTCCCCGCCTTTACACTGTTTTCAATCAACTTGCACTGGCCTCTTCCTCCATTATAGCTGGGTTCCCACAGTGCCGGAGTTGTAGGTCCAAATCCCTTCCACTGAAGCAGCGTCTGATTTCTGTGCTCCAGGACTGCACGCCCGGGGCCCTGCCTGCCTGCCCAGCCTCAGCCCACACTAGCCTCTTGGGTCACTGTGCTCATCCTTCCCCTCCTTGCTTGGCTCACCCCACAAGCCGCAGCTCAAACTCACTTCCTTGAGGAACCCATGCCTGACCTTCCCATCTGGGTCGGACACCACTGTCAATTTCAGAGCACTCTGTTCACTTTTATAGAACTTATCGTAATTACTTGACTGAAGTCAGCCTGGGCATGCCTTGTTGGGGGTTTTTTTTGTTTTGTTGGGTTTTTTTTTTTTTAACACTTCATTTATTTATTTTTAGAGAGGGGAAGGGAGGGAGAGAGGGAAACATCCATGTGTGATTGCATCTTGTGCCCCCCTGCTAGGGACCTGGCCTGCAACCCAGGCATGTCCCCTGATTGGGAATCGAACCGGCAATCCTTTGGTTGGCAGGCCAGTGCTCAATCCACTAAGCCACACCAGCTAGGACTAGGTATACCTTGTATTATTGTGCTTCACTTCATTGCACTTCACAGATGTTCTGTTTTTTATAAATTGAAAGCAAGACTGTTCACCAGCAAAAAGATTACAACTCACTTTATTGCAGCGGTCTGGAGCCAAACCCACATCTCCAAGATATGCCTGTAGATTGCTGAGGGCAGGAGCCATGTCAGGTTTTGTTCGCATGGTATCCCCAACACCTATCCCAGTGCCTGGCACACAATAGGCATTTGTTGTGTGAGCAAAAGCAGAATACAGCATGAGTTACTGCTATATTACTGAGCCATAACAGCCCTTCCCTCTGCCATTCCCCTCCATGTGGACTGTGTTTTAGAAGTCTTCATCCCATTGATGTACTTTGACTCCTGAATCTCATGCAGGTCACATAGGTAACAGTTTACTCTCATAATATCTAAATTTCAGCTCCAAGAAGGCAGGGCTATTTCTTCTTTGTATAATCCCACTCTAGACAGGATCTGATGATATAAGGCTCAGTACACAGTAGGTGTTTCACTAAACTTATGAGCTCAGTAAAAGCTACTCTATTCTTGAGACCTAGAATTGGTGTGAAAACAAGGCAGAAATATCCTAGAGGAGAAGCCAGAAACTTTTATTCAGAGCCATAGATATTGTGGCACCCTGACTATGTGCCAGGCACTGTGGAGACTCTCTTCTCTGTCCTTAGCTCTTGGCCAAGACCAAACCTCCACTACTGCATGTATTACAATGCAATGGGCCCATTTATTTAGATCTCTGTCTCTCTCAACAGCCTGTGAGTTCCACAGGGAAGCAACTGGGGCTTATTTCTCAGCGGCTGGCATCTCCCAGGCCTGTCGCTGCAGGCTGAGTGCCTCTGAAGAGATCACTCTGGGTGTAGCCAGGGTACAGATCACTAGTTCCCCAACACTGGCCTGGCTGCCTCAGATGCATCTGGGATGCATTCTGCCTACCGTCCAGGTTACTTATGCTCTCTGAGGCTATTTGCACCCCGCAGAGTTGTTGTGAGGACAAACATAAAGTCCTTACCAGGCTGCTGGGCACAAGGAAGTGCTTGAAAATGTCAGTCCCCTTCAATTCAGAAACAAAGTCCTTGCCCTACTACTGATGGTAGAGGCAGAGGTGTTACAACGAGTGCCAAGGCAAGACATAATCTCAAAAGGCCTTTGAAGTTATCTTTAAAAACTGGCCTCCTTTCAGCCCTGGTCCTCTCTTTTCTAGGCAGTGGCTGTGACCAATCTCCTTTGAAAGCCATCTGCACAAACCCCTACCCCTGCCCTTCAGGCTCATGGATTTAGTATGTAATGTGCTTTCAACCCAGCACACCTAATTATCCAGATACAGGCATACCCATTTTATTGCATTTTGCTTTGTTGCACTCCACAGATGCCGCGTATTTTACAAACTGAAGGAAAGACCCTCCACCAGCAAAAATATTACAACTTGCTTTCTTGTGATACTGGCTTTTTTTGCAGTCGTCTAGAACAGAACCCACAATGTCCCCGAGGTCTGTCTGCACTCAGGCAGCCAGGGAGAAACACTAATCGATGAGATATTGACATCACATGCTGAGGAAAACGACCTAGGGCAGGCAGAAATGGAGTTCTGGGGCTAGAGGAGGCTCTGGAAGTGGAAAGTCAGCCTAAGAGAGACAGATTCTGCATTTAACTGGGACCTTAAGCAAATCTTATTCTAGTCCGGCAGCTCGTTATGTGACATTGAGCAAATGCCGTCCTGAGCCTCTCTGCTCTTCTCTAAAATGGGGATAAATGGTATCAGGTTGAACCACATGAAAGTGAAGGATTAGATGTTGGCAGTTTCATATGGTTCTACCTGATACCTACCACATAATGTGGTTTGTGCCTGGCATCTGGAACTTCAGCCCAGGGAGCCACTCTGCGAGGTTCTGCTCTCCAAGGCCAGCCCTGCAGCCTCTTTGTAGCCCATGGCCTGGCCACTCCAGGCAAGCCTGCCCCCACTCTCACCGAAGGCAGTCTGAGGTCAGCTGTCACCATGGTCACCAACACACCCCCCCTCAACTAATATCTTCGAACCATTCATGCAAAAGGGTTTTTAAAGGCTTGAACCTCACTGATCCCATCAGAGGCCACAGAAAGGAGGCAGGACAAGGCCTGCTGTCCCTGCGGCATGAATGGGGAAGCCGACGATCACCAAGGGAAAGGAACACAGTCTCAGGAGGGTGAGAATAGAACCTGCACTCAGCCTCCCTGGGAGGAAAAAGCGGAGGGCCAGCGTTCTTCAGGGGAGGTAGGAGTACCCCTCCAGGTGCTGGACCAGGAGGCGGCCTGTGGACCCTGGCTCTGACCCAGGAGACAGCTGCCCCAGGCCAAGCACAGCAGCAAACAGCAGCCGTAACCTCCCTCTGAAAAGCCTGCATTCAAAGCATGGGACCCAGATTCTCTGCTTCAGAATCACCAGATGACCCTGGGTGAGTCCCTGCTAGGCTCCTCAGACTTCTAACCTGGAAAATGGAGACCATACCACCTACCACTAATGGGGCTGGGACAAAGTATGAAAAAGATGAAGGCTGGGGCAGTCATGAGTCTATTCCTAGGGTATCTGACACTGAGGGGTGAAACAGACCGTGTCAGAGAAGGAGACAAGGAGACACACTCCTGATCTCACTAATTCTACACGGAATTTCACCCATTAGTCCTTCACTGCTTATACTTGTTTCCAGTGAACCCCTGAACCCCAGTCCCACCCAAGATCAGCTCTTCTCTGATTCTGGCCTGGACTAATGCAGTATCCTCCCAACCAATCTCCTCCTTCCCTCCCTCAATCCACCCTCCAACAGAGGCATGTGTCCTGCAGGAGAAGAGTCCAGGCTTCGAATCTGGTCTAACCACTATGCTCCACGGTGGTCCCCATGGCTGGTCCTTTTTCATCTGTCTCAGACTACGAATCCCAAAATGGGAGATGACCACATGCCTGCTAGTTTTTCCCAGCCAGTGCTGTTGCTCCCCTCAAGCCCTTGGCTTATACCCCTCATTGCTGGCATGACAGCCTGAGAGTCCCAGCAATACCCAACCCGCTCCATGGCACACAGTAAGCACACAGGAAAATCACGCTCCCTCCCATGGAAGCAGCATATCCCTTTATCTCTCCCTTCTTGGATGACTGTCTGCATTTTCACTGAGTATTGACTGGTCTGTTCCTGAATGGTGAAGCCTGGCTCACCTCCATCATCCCCAAAACACCATGTGTGTGTGTGTGTGTGTGTGTGTGTGTGTGTGTACAATGTGCTGCCCCTCCCCCATGCCTGGGCCCCCACTCACGTTTCCTCATCCCTCCGTGATCTCTCCAAGGCACCCTGCAAATACCATCAAATTAATCTCATTATATGGTAAGCTCCTTCCCGCTCTGCCCATGCTCAGAACTCTCAAGGCTCCCAGTGCCTTCAAGACAAGGTCCAAACTCCTGAGTCTGACATTCAAGCCCTTTTCGTGACATATCATAGCTGATGTGGGGCAGGGGTGGAGATAAACTTGACAAAGGCTATTCGTTGGTGAATCTACAGGAATTTGGGCAGTGGGCTTTTCCTGCTGGTCCCCTTGTGGTGACACCCACTCTGCTGAAAAAGGGCTTCCCTTCTCTCCTGGCAAATTCCAACTCATCCTTCAATGCCCAGGTCACATGCCCCCTCCTCTGGGAAGCCCAACCTAGTTCCCCTGCAGTTCAAGTCTCTGATCTCTGGCTTCCCAAGGCCCCCTTCACTTCTCTTATCCCTCAGCAGTGTTGGATTCTATGTCTCTCTCCCCAACCAGGTTGGACTGTCCTTTGGTAAAAAGCAGGTTCAAAACCTCTTGTCTGTGCCCAGTGCCCATCACAGGATCAGGCACAGAGGTGAAAGAGTGCCAAGGGACCAACGGCAGACATGTGACAGCAAGATTAGATAAAACTAAAGGTCTGACCACAAAAGCACTATTCTAGAGATGGGCCTAACCCTCGGTCCAGTCACTGCCCCCACGTCTGTCCAGGCCTGGTCTCATACATCTGTAAGTCTGAGAATCTTAAATACCAGCTAAGAACGCCCCTCCAGCGGTCACTGGATTGGACTGAGTGAGGCTCTAACCAATCTAGAAATGACTTAAAACAACCAAAGCTGAAGAAAAGGAAAGGAAAAAAACACTATTCCTGGTTAACTCTCAGGTCAAAAGCTCACAGAATCTCATGAGACGGGGGAAGGAGCTTCACGAAGGTCTCACCCTCTCCCTACCTCAGAGCTCAGCAGCCACTCCAAGCCCCAGCTCAGCACCCAAGTGCTGAGCAGCCCATTTCCTTTCTCTGACCCTTATAACCAGTTTCCCTCCTTTGAATCCCTGGGAGGCACCAGACTGTCCCTTCTCAAAACCAAAAGTCCCTCCAGCCCTGCCCCCCGCCCCAAACTCCATCTCTGGGCGGCAGCATCTCTGTATTTTTAAACAACTTCTACCCAAGGCAACCCTGGGAAGGAGACCCTTGCTCTACTACTGGGAGGCCCTCATCTGGGCCACTAAACTATCTCCTGGGGGAAAAGGTGAAAAGAGGTTTTACTGGCAAAAAAGCAAATGCTCTTTTACTGAAGGAAGGGGCTTGGAGGAAGAGAAGGGAAGAGGGTGGGACCATATATTCCCTTTTTAGGAACCCGTCACACTCACCCATTCACGCTGGGAGCCACCCCTCACATACCTCTGATGGCCTCGTCCCCATCCCCAGGTTTTCTGGAAGGGCAGGCACCAGGCTGAGACTTCAGGGTCTCTAGTTCTATGGTCTCTCACAGAGCGGGTAGCCCAGGCAGGATGCTAAGAATAGCAGAAGCCCATTCAAAGCCGAGGCAGACTCCTGGACCCCTAGTTTGTGCCCTGGTTCGGCCCCACCCCTACGTCCATTTATACCAGTGCACCTGCTCCCAGGCCAGACGGGGGCTGCAGACGCCACCAAAGACTGGCGAGCTTCGTGGTTCTGGGCGCTGGTGCCCTCAGCCCTGGAGGAAGGGGGACAGGGGTGGCATCACCTCCATACCCAGTTGATGAAGAAGTAGTCTGAGGCCCAGAGAGGGGCAGGTACTTGCCCAAGGTCACACAGCGAGGCCCAGGATGCACCGAGACCTCCGGACTCCCAACCTCGGCCCCCTCAGAGTCCTACGCTCGAGTCCGGGGCTCTCGAACCGCTAGGGTGCTGACACTGCCTCCCCTCAACCCTCACACATGCCCCCATTCCCCCCAACCCCCTTACCTCTGGGACCCCAGTGGACCCTGCCTCAGACCCGGCTCCTGGGCGGGGCTCTCAGGCGGGGCAGGACTAGCCTGGGCCAAGCTAGGTCAGGGCGGCTCCTCTGCTCCCCTCGGAGTGAGGACGCCCTCCGCCAGGTCCCAGATGGCATGGATGCTGCTTCCACTGCAAAGACCAACCTCCCCAACCCTGCCTGTAACAAGACTATACCCAGGGAACCCGACTCAGAGGCGCAGCCGCGGAGCTGCGGGGCTGCGGGACGAAGCTGGGGGAGGGGCGAGATGCGGGTAACAGGGCGGAGCCCGAGCGGGGGCCACCCCGCGAACCACCACTCAGGCCGCGTCCCCTTTAAGGCCAGCCGGCAGGGGCGCTGGCGGGGGCGGGGCGGAGAGCTGGACGGCTCGCCGCAGTGCCTCTTGGGAGATGGAGTTTGCGCTCGGTACACTTAACCACTACGAGCCCAGAGAGAACTACAAGTCCGGGAGCGCCCCGCGCGGTCCCGGGCTGCCACGCCCCTGGGCTGAGCTCCAGGCCTCCGCCCCTCTAGCTAAGCTGCGCTGGCGGCGCGTAGAGGGGAGGCTGCAAGAGCGCGGGCGAGGAGGTGGGTGCGGCGCGGCCGGGGGCGCGGGGCTCAGGAATAGCGGGTGAGGGGGCGCGAGCCCACCCGTGAACCTGTCCTACCACGTGAGGTCATCTAGCCTACCGTGGCCTTGCCGTTCTCATCTGTGCGATGGGGATGGTAATTCCTGTGCTGCAGGGGAGGGGGCGCTTAATCGAGGAGAGGAGGTGGAGCTGGTGGAAGGAGCCAGAATGGATGGCGATGGTAGGAAAAGCCGGCATAAGGAGGGTCGAGACTCTTGGGAGGAATTTTTGGCGGGTGAGAAGGGGAACGCGCTTGAGGTCAGAGTAGGAGAATCCAGAGCTGGGGAGTGCGTGCTGTGATTGCCGACGAAGCAAGCTTGGGTTGGATTGGGTGGAATAGGCCGAAAAGCACTGGGGGAGAAGGGGCGGAGAGAAAAATGAAAAGGACGCCCCCCAGCCCTGCTGATCGAGTTTAGGAAAGGGGTTGCCCGACTGCTCCGATACCTGTGAATGCACACAACGCCTTCCTTTTCTTGTGACTAGCAATAAAGAGCCCAGCCCTTGAATTCAGTGCGTCACACACATGATCTCATTCAACCCTCGCACCGTGTAAAGGCGTCACCGTATCTATTTACAGGTGAGGGACCGGAGGCTCAGAGAAGTGAAGTGACTTGGCCCAAACCACCGAGGACTCCTTACTCTAAAGACCCTGCTTTTTTCCCTGCACTCTAGGGGAGGTTTAGTCGGAGTGGTTGGTAGGGAAGAAAAAGAAGTTTTGATGACTTTGCTTTTGCAGGTTGTGTGACAGAACCTGCTTCCTCAACCCTTCTGAAAGCCAGCCTACCTGTAAGGCAAGCCTCCTGTGGTTATTGTGAGGATAAAATGAGGAGACGGATTTAAAAGCCCTTTGTTTACAAATTATAATTGTTAGGAGCAGGAAAACCTAACATAAGGAAAAGTGGTTGGAATAGGGTGCTTGTGCAGGAAGAAAATCAAGCTGAAGCCTGAGAATGTGCTAAGAGGATGAAGGAAAATGCTGGAACAGGATGAGAGTGGGCGATTGTTGTTGGGCGCCTATAACAGGTGAGAGGATATTTTGCTGTGCAAATGAGGAAGCCAGCTTGCCAGGTCAGGTTGCTTTCCTCCTGTAGCCTATTTTCCCTCTTTCATGGACTATTTGGACAGCTCACTCCAGGGTCCAGGTACTGAGTCTGGGTAATAACTTTTCCCCTTACACTGTGGGTTGTGGGGATAATGGAACAGCCTGTGGGCTTCTTAGAGATATGAACTGGGCAAAAGAGGGCTAAAACTATAGCTGTTGGGTGTAGTGAGACCAGGACAAGAAGGTAAAAGACAGTCCCCCCAGGGCTGTGAGCCAGTCTTTATCCTGGTGCACCGAGTAAGTCTCATCTGGTGTACTGGGAGACACATTACATTACTCACTGAGCATTTTCATCCTTGAAATTTACCCAGCCATGTTCTCTCCAGCTCCTACACAGTGGGAGTTTCTGCATTTACTTCTGTGTGATCATCTGGGCCCTGCCCTGTGCCTTAGATTCCAAATTCAAAATTCAAGAGAATGTTTCCAAAATAAAAAGTTTTAAAAATTCTGGAGAGGATGATAAATCCCTTTTGGTAGATGACTGTCATTCTGGAGAAGTAGATCTGACTAAACAGGAAGTAATTTCTTCCCCTTCCCCTACTTGCCTGCTTCTGGGGGTACAGAAAGGGGAGATCCCAGCCCCAGCAGGGTGGCCAGGCACCCATGTCCTTAAGTGAGCCATGGTAAGGGGTGAAATAAAACTCTGGAGGTGCAGAGGAAGCAGGAATGACTGCGAGCAGAGGGGCCTGGCAAATGAATGGGACTTGCCTTCACAGTGCAGGCAGAGGGGATGGCAGGTGCCAAATTGCAGAGGCAGGAGAGGGCCTGGCATGAAAGTAGAGATAATACAGCACAGGCATACCTCGGAGATGTTGCAGGTTCGGTTCTAGGCTACTGCAATAAATGAGCATTGTAATAAAGCAAGTAATGATCTTTTTGCAAGTGGAGGGTCTTGCCTTCCATTTGTTTAAAAAAAAACAAACCAAACCTGTGAAGTGCAATAGAACTGAGGTGCACCTGTAACTGAGCTCAACATGTATGAAGTGCCTAGCACAGTAGTAACTGCTCAGTAAATGTCAGCCATCATTATTACTGCCGCTATTGTTATGATGATAGTGACATCTATCCAGAATTGGTCCACTTAGCTAGTTAAGTGGCAAAGCCTGATTCCAGTGCAGGTCCAAGTGATGTCAAATCCCATGTGCTTTCCTCCTTCCCCCCACCACCAAGCCCCTCCAGTGTTTTCTGACCATCCACAACATTTGTGAGACCCGAAAGTGGGCCCTGTTTGTGAACATTCTCCATGAGCCATGAGGAGTTTCTTTCCTTCTGTAGTAGCAGACTCTGGGCTCAGGAGGCAGCAGATACAAGGTCTGAACAGCCATCTTCCCCCTGACTGGGTCCAGCACAGAGGAAGGCAGGCCTAGTATTGTGGTTTCTGTGGGCAGTAGGTGTGTGTCAAGTGACCTCTCCCTACTGTGGGCTATTTCATCTTAGCCCCATTTGGCTTCCTCATCCTCCAAAGCACAGTGACACATGGAGGTTTCCAATGCTTCTTGGTAATAGTAGTAACAAATCTATTTGGGGTTGGGCACTCTGACTGGAACTTAACATCTGTAGTCCTGTGGAAAAGTATGCTTATCTTCACTCTTCTTTTAAAAGTAAATATATTTTTAGAATGTTCAAGCCTACAGAAAAGTTTAAAGAATGGCCTTTCACCTAGATGTACCAACTCACTTTGCTGATTTTGATTTTACACACACACACACATTTTTTTTTGCTAAACTATTTGAAAGTTACAGGCATCTTGACACTTGACCCCTAAATTCTTTAGCATGTATCTCCTAATTATAATGTTCTCCTACAATAACCATAATATCATTATCATACTTAAGAAAATTTGCAAGAAGTCAATATTATCTAATAAACATACTCAAATTTCTCCAGCTGCCAAAAATCTAATGGAGCTTTTTAAAAATCAGATGCAGTCAAGATTCATGCATTATATGTAGTTATATCTTTAAGCAACTCATTTGATCTAGATAGAACCCTTCTACCTATTGAAATTTGATTAGCAATGATTAGATTTTCTTCTGGTAATATATACAATACTTCTTAATGCAGCACATCAAGAGGCATATGATATCCGGTCCTGCTATCCATGAATGCTAAATTTATTGGTTATGGTTATGACAGCCTGATCTCTTCATGGAAGGATAAATTTTTCCCTTTGTAATTAATAAGTAATCTGTGGAGTGATTCTCTGAGATTTGGAATTGTGTGTTTGTGATAACCTTTTACTCCACATCCATTGATGACCCTTGCCTGAATTGCAACACTGAGGATGATAAAGGGTGATTTTCTAATTCTAGTGGCATTTTCTAATGCCATTCTCACTATATTTATTAGCTGGTATTCTTTGTTATAGAATAACATTTCCTCTGTGTGTGTGTATGTGTGCGTGTGTGTCTTTCTCACTGCCTCTACTTCCCCTCTTTTTTTCTTTTTGGAGTAACAGACTCCTGACTTTTTTAAGAGGTCAGTGTGTTATAACCTATTATCATCATTGATCTTTTTGGTACTCAAAGTATCCCAAATTTGGCCAATGAGAATCCCTTGATGCCAGTTGCTGTGTTCTTTTGTCTTGTTTTTTATTGAGATATAATTGACATATAACATTGTATTTGTTTTAGATGTACAACATAATGATTTGACATATGTACATTTTGAGAAATTATTACAATATATTTAGTTAACATCCATCAACACATAAAGTTACCAAAATTTTTTTCTTTTGATAAGGACTTTTAAGATCTCCTATGTTCTTTTGACGTGACCTCATTAATCTTTTATTGCATCTTTTCTATCTAGAAAGAGATGTTTTAGTCTCACCTTGCTCTTTTCCTGTTAGAGTCCTAGAATCATCAGGTTTTTCAGGAAACCCCAGTTTGATTTTTTGTAGGACATAATATTTAGAAACTAAGATCTGGGGTCATGTGTGCTCATTTTTACTGGGGTATCATTTCTAGGCTCTTTGAGCACAGCTAAGAAGTGATGGATAATGGATGGATGGATAATCATTGCTTAATAGATTCATTGTAGTCATAACAATGGGTCCTCACTGTATAAAAGGAGTAGATGGCATGGCAAATGGTTTCATTATGGAAGCTCAATGGGCAGTAATGTAGGGAATTGCACCGAAAGAGCCCATGCCTTTTCCAGCACTCCAGGAGTGTACAGGCTTTTAGCTAGGACCTCTGTGTCTAGGTTCAGTCCCTTGTTCAAAACTCAAATTGAGAAGACACCCCAGGCTGCCTCCAATGGACTGGCTCTCTGAGCAATGTCCAAATCTAGATCCTCCCAGAGGCCATGACTCAGAGGTCAAGAATGCACACAATGCCCCAAGCCAGGAATTCATCTTCTCTGAGTTTGTGAAATAAAGATAGTGTGACCTGTCTTGCTAGGGTTCCAGAGTTTTGGTAAGGATATATATTTTGTAATCGCTAACAAGTCTTTTCAACATGTACTACAAAAATTCCTCTTTTTCATTGTTTGCTTTATAATTCAATTTAGTATATTGTACTAACATAACTATCCTTTTTCCAATATTATTTCAGGTTATCACTCATCAGCTTTTCCAAATTGAGGTTTTAATCTTTTTAAAATCTTTTTAAAAATTATTTTTATTGTATTTTTTCCATTACCATTTCCCCCTTATACCCCTCCTCTGCAATTACCACACTGTTGTCCATGTCCATGGGTCCGGTTTCCTTTTTGCTCCATCCCTCCACTCCCTAACCCCTCCCCCTAGAGCGGTCATCTGCTCTCCATCTATGAGTCTGTTTTTCTTTTCCTTGTTAGTTCAGTTTGTTCATTAGATTCCACATATGAGTGAAATCATATGGTATTTGTCTTTCTCTGACTGGCTTATTTCACTTAGTATAACGTTCCCCAGGTCCACCCATACTGTCGTAAAGAGTAAAATTTTCTTTTTTGTGGCCCAGTAGTATTCCGTTATGTAAATGTCCCATAGTTGTTTTATCCACTCATCTACTGGTGGACACGTAGACTGCTTTCAAATCTTGACAATTGTAAGTAATGCTGCAATGAACATAGGGTGCTTATGTTCTTTCGAATTAGTGTCTCTGGTATCTTAGGATAAATTCCCAACAGTGGGATCACTGGATCAAAAGGCAGATCCATTTTAAATTTTTTCAGGTATCTCCATACTGCTTTCCACAGTGGCTGCAGTAATCTGCATTCCCACCAACAGGGCAAAAGTGTTCCTTTCTTCACACCCTTGCCAGCACTTGTTTGTTGATTTATGGATGATAGCCATTCTGACTGGTGTAAGGTGATACCTCATTGTGGTTTTAGTTTGCATTTCTCTGATGATTAGTGATGTTGAACATCTTTTCATATGTCTATTGGCCATCTGTATGTCCTCTTTGGAGTAGTCTCTTCAGGTCCTTTGCCCATGTTTTAATTGGAATGTTTTTTGTTTTTTGTTTTGGGTTTTTTTTTGGTGGTGAGTT